CATGACTGAGATTTTTACATTTTTGTTAGTAAACTATACGTTTAAATTCATCTTTGTCATATATTTCACTTATAATTATTTGTACACCAGCGGAAAACGAATAGGTATTACCACCTACGAGGACTTGCTTTCTGCAGTTATAAGTGATTATTAAACCACAAGTTAAAATAAAATTGCACTCAGACTGAGAATCTAACTGAAGGCCTCAAAACAAAAAGATTTTTACTAAATCTTCTCTTGTTATTTGCGTCTCCAAATCACAATATTCGTTTATCCCCCAGGAATCATCTCAGTAACATGAATACATGGAAATATGATACTATTTAAGTTCTTGATCTTTATACAAATAATATAAGGACCTTAGGGGGAAACCCGATACACCGCTGTGTTGTTGCTACGAAAATATTTTTCCCCAAACAAATCTTAAGTAATATTAAATAACTACTACATTCCATGCGTGGGATGAACCTTTTCAATAATGATTCCATTTTTAAAAATAAGCTTTGGTTTAAGTTGTCTATTGTTGCATAGACTATAAATTGTTTCATTAGCTCTGATAATAGATACCAGTCTAGGGCCTTAACGATAGTTATAACGTTGTGGCGATGGACCTTCTTTTTCAAGAACGATTCCATTTTCAAAAATAAGTTTTGGTTTAAGTTGTCTATTGTTGCATAGACTATAAATTGTTTCATCATTAGCTCTGATAATAGATACCAGTCTAGGGCCTTAACGATAGTTATAACGCTGTGGCGATGGACCTTCTTTTTCAAGAGCGATTCCATTTTCAAAAATAAGTTTTGGTTTAAGTTGTCTATTGTTGCATAGACTATAAATTTTTTCATCATTAGCTCTGATTCTAGATACCAGTCTAAGGCCTTAACGATAGTTATAACGCTGTGGCGTAAAATATAGTAAACAATTATTTTAAATTCATATTCACTCCGAACTATCAATCGAATTGTATTAATTTGCATAAAGATCAATTTCTTACATCTTGAAAAGTCAGAATAGAGGCGGTCCTTTTCTGTCCTCTGGTCGAGGTTCTAGTTAGTTCTCTTCTCTTTCTTCTCTTAATTTCCCTTAACCCTGAAAGCGTTACTAACACACTCTAGTACTGTAGTATGTAATAGTAAGATTATATCTACATAATTATAAAATAGCTAATAGTGAAACCCCCTTTTTGTATACTGAACATAAATGGCGCTTAATATTTTCCTTTCCACAATTTGCTTAATCATTGTTAATGAGAATCTTAAAGGGGGCAATGATTATTAAATTATTGTTTATTTTTCTTAAATGTTGTGTTGCAAAATAAATAAAACCTTTTTCTCACTTAAATAAAATTGTTTATTAGTAATCGTAACAATCAAATATACAGTACCAACAATTTTCTTAACCTTACTAAGTGTAATAATAATGATAATTTTTTTTTTAATAAAAACAAAATTAGTGTGGCAGTGCGATACTTATTCGTTGAGCGAGGAAAGCACCAGCTCTGGGGTCACCGGTTCTATCTACCGGGTGTCAACTTAAATCTTTAATTAGCACTTGCGCTTGCTGTGCACTTGAACCCCACGGCCCAAGAGTCTCTACTCCAAAGGAAATACAATACTGTTTTATTTGTATTAGTTGGAGAAAATACTGTTATATTTGAGCTGTTTTTATCAAACGTGTCCATACAAGTAGCATCCCATACCAAACCCCGTCCCATCTTCCAAAGGATCAACGACATCCCATCCGACCGCTTGCCATCGTCTCTTGCGATGCCTGTTGGCTCCAAAATGCCTGGATCATTGACGGAGGCAAGAGAGCGGCGTATAATGTCGTTAGCGCGGCGTGGCGAGAAAAACGACCTGCACTCTTTTGGCAATGGAGACCATGGTGTCCAAGGCTACTTCAAAGCCACGAGGACACTTATTATGGGCACGTAAAGTATATTTAAAAATTATACACTGTATTAAGTACTCATTCAGGTTCTGTCAAATTTTGTTCAAGCTTTGGTCTAGGGTCTCAAGAAGAGACAGGTCAATATGATTATTCTTTTCGATATTTGCTATTCTAATGGCAGATGTTTCTCTTACCTTAAACTTAATCTATTCGTTCGTTTTTTCATCATTGGTTCAGCTATTATATAAAAGGTGATATATATATATATGGTGATATAAAGATGACTATGATGTTCCTAACATTGTTTCGTATGTCAATGCGTTATGCATGCATGCATGTATGTTATCAGAACAAAATATGAATAATATGATATAGAAAGGTCCTTCCTAGAATCACTTTTCCTCGTGATTCATTTACTAAGTAGGTCACATTATGTGCAAAGCGTTTATCGCTTTTCTTTTGTCTTTGAAATTGCAGAATACGTTCCACTTTTCTCAGTGTAAATTTAAATATAACCAAGTATTTTAAATGTAGGTTTTGAGCTTACACATCTTACTCATGTATGTACTTAATTAGAGAATGTTTTGACATGTATTATTTTTTATTATTAAGCACAAAACATGGTTAATATAACGTATTTTTAAAAACTACAAAACTTCATTATACACAGCTTCACTGGTATAATACTTATAAGAATAAGCGAAGTGAAAAAAATTGCCTATTTTCGAAAACCGAAGATTATATTATTATTGTATTCAATTATTGCACGACCGCCGTCGGAGTGAAGGACTCCTCAAAATCCTTCCATTTGTCTCTTATCTTCGGTACTTTTTTTCAATCTTCCCGCTATCTTATTTATTTCATCATCCCAGCTTTCCGGTGGGCATCCTCTCTTTGTACTTTCCAATAAAGTAAAAGTTACAATGGTAATATGCTTAGCGCTAAGTCGCGAAGTTGACACTCTAAGCCGGTTTTTATGCTCGCTTTAAAAGATTTGTTTTTGCGAGATTGTTCGGCAATATTATCGGATTGCTAACTCGCGTTTTTTATTGTGGTTTCTGTTAAAAAGCGGTGAATGGTAATAATAGCTATTATCTATTGACCAACTGGACTGTGGACTCAGTTGAGTTGTCGAGTTAGAAATAGATTTGTTTTTTTACAATATCAGATAAAGGTGTCGTTAGCTTGGGATATGCTGTTTATAGACGTTATCATGGCAATGTTCTTCAATTAGGATTATGGCTCCCAAGTAATTTTCCATTCGAATACGGTTTTACATAGTGATACATAATTAAAATAGATTAACGGTCGGTCGGAGTTAACGATTACTTTTAATAAGCTCACTAAAGATTGAATTTAGAGCCAAATTATATATTTCGCTGGTTTATAAATGAGTCTTTAAATCATAGGACATTAAATTATGTAGCTGACTACAGTTTTTAGGTAGTCATTATTATATTCTCAATTGATATATTTGAGTTGGAAAAGCAGGTAGTTGGTTACAGTAGAACGAAGGTTTTACGCATAGATAGGCAATATGCTTAATTTAAGTTTTCACTTCAATAGCTTTTTAAAAGATATTTAATGGTAATGATTAAACGTGAATACGATGAAGAATAATGTAACAGATTTATTACATAAACAATTATTTATTTAGTTTGTTTTTTTTTTGTTCCTGTTTAGTTTCTTTTTCTTTACAAGTATATACTTGTTCATCATCATTACATATATATGTAATACATGTATTTTTGCACTTTTTGCCTACCTTATGTAATTTAATACATTTTCTTTTTTCTTTTCTCACAGTGGTTGCCTGGAAGAGATCGCTCGAAAGCGATAAGGCCGCCAGTTGCCTTTCCTTTACTTGTAATTTTGTTAAATTTTTATATCATAAAGCAACAAAGTGTAAATAAATAAATAAATATTTTAGTTTTAGGAAAATTTTGTATTTAATTCTAAATAAGACGGGGTTGAACGACATTGGATCCAGTTAAAAGTACATACACATCTAAAAGCCCGCAAGATCACTATCGGTTGTAACCTCGATTAACTTCCTATCAGAAGTGCCTTCAGCATGTGGGATTTGAAGGTTGGCTGAAATTGTGTCAAGCGCTTCTAAATTTAAATTGTTTAAGTGTCAAGCTTTTAATATCGGCTTTGTTGTTCTAACATTTTTTTTAAGAGTTTGATTCTGGTAACGAGCCCTTTAATCCAAGTCTTATTTTGAACATTTTTTTAAATGCATGTATGTATTTATTACTTTTGAGAAAATCACACAGTTATCACTTAACTTTCATTAATTCACTTGACAATACTAGTCTATGAAAAAAATACTTTTGGTTTTGACAATTGTTATTCTAATACACGCTTACCGTAGATACCAGATATGTGAAATCAGATACAGATAATGATAGTGATCACAGATAAGTTTTTTTTTTTAAAACCATGCATTTATGTTATCACCACGAGAGATACTAAGTACAAATAGTACATATAGTAAATAAATTATCTTTAAATAAACGTATATAGTAACTAATAATGCTTATCAGAATTATTACATGTTATCAGCTAAGACTTATGTTATTGGTAATATTTTATTTATAAACGTTTCCTTCTACGTAGACTTATAGTAGACAACTCAACTTTCACTAAACATTACGATTAAGTTCCAACCATCCGTTTCATATATTTTTAATAGACAAAGTTTTGTCTATGGTCACTTCTATCTACATTAATTTATAGTCTGTTTCCCTAGGTCGAAGGCCTGTCTAAATTAATGAAACAACTAATGTAGGCGGTATATAAAAAAAACCTTCATGGTGTTCATCAAAAATTATTTATCTTGATGAATTCGAAGTATTGTTGAGGAAAATTTGGCAGTATGAACACTTTCACGATAAATGTGAGAGGAAATTAGACGTGACGCTCTTGCCGTACCTAGAAAGCGTCGATGTATGATTATAGAATGATCAGTACATTAAGGAGAAACGTGCCGACGCAACGTCAGTTCGAAGATAGCGTTTGTAACGAGCGGTCGTGGCGAACAATTGTGTATTATCGAACTTTGCGGATAATTACGGACTGTTTATTTTTATTTTACGGACTTTTAAATGTGTAATAAAATGCGTGTATGTGAAAGACAATGTGCTCGCTGCACACCCTCCGGGTGGATTAAGCGGCGTGCTGCTAAAGTGACTCATTCAATGGAGATGTTGAAATTGCAGTTCAAACGGATGCTGAACAAGGAGCTTAGCCACTTTTCGGAGTCCAGCAAATCCGGAAACCAGATTTCGGAGTACATCTGCTCTACATTTTTGGGTAAGTTTGTTTACGATATTAAACTATCCGATTATCGGAATATTTTTTTGGGATTTAATCCAACAACTTACCGCTTCCCAAAGCATAGGTTACAACACTAGAATGTCCGTAGCGTGACAGTCTCTGGCTTACTAAAGAGAGATAAAGTACTTTTGTTAGGAGAGCTACTTCAATCTGTTTATAATCGAGTGCAGAGTCAAAGAAAATTAGTTTGTTTTGCTATTTTACATTTTTTTTAAGTATACAGCGGTTTCACTTTTAAAACGAAATGAAATTTTTTAAATAAAATTGGGGTACGCGAAGCCCTGCGGTTCTTTATAGGAAAACTCCTGTGTTTTCGATAGTTTTTTTCCAAAATGCACAAACAATTAACTAGAATTTAAAGAAAACATATGTTTTAGATAAAAGGAAATAGGTCATTGTATCGATATTGATCCTAATAAGCCTTATAGAATAGAAAAAGTAAGCCACTTACTTATTCAAGGCTTTTACGTTGCTTACGTAGGAATCGTGCCTTCGACGTCAATGCGTCATGATTGAATGCGGGTGGCGCCCGCCCAATCTGAAAATTTAATACTAATAATGGAGCGAAAGTTTTATTTAGTTTTATTTTTCGGTGAAGCTTTATTGCAAACGGAAATTTTTAACTAAGTTTTTAAGTTAGTTATTTTGAATAATATTAAAAGTTAAATTGCTCAGTCGGTTAGCGATTTTTAATAAAATATAGAAGCAGTAGTATAGCTACTCTTAATTGGTAAAACAAATATATACCTAGGTATGTAACCTAGAAGACCTGAGTTGGATTTTTTATAGAACAGGGGGCAAGGGACTCACCTGATGTTATGTGATACCCCCCGCCCATGGATACTCTCAATGCCAGAGGGCTCGTGAGTGCGTTGCCGGCCTTTTAAAATTCCTATGGATTTCCTACTAACCTTATAATTATCATTAATTCCTAATTGATAAATATCAATGTTGTAAAAAAAGCTCCAGCTCCGTTCAGTCTCCATTTAGAGGTTACAGGACTTCAAACAGAAGTATAGCCTCTGGCTTATTAGGTAATTCATATTGTAAAATTCTGGATTAAATTGTTAAACTGTACTATTTCCTATATGAACATATATTGGCAACCCTTTCCTGAAAAGGAATGATGGCACAGAACTGTCTTCCCACGCCTCACTGCGAGGCTTCAAAAAATAGCCTTGCCTAGTAGTTACAATAAACCCGATAAAAAAAAATATTGCCAACCTTTTCCTGAAAAAAAATTAACGAAACAGGCACAGAACTGTCTTCCCACGCCTCATTGCGAGACTTCAAAGAATAGCCTTGCCTAGTAGTTACAATAAACCCGATAAAAAAAATATTGGCAACCTTTTCCTGAAAAGGAATTAACGAAACAGGCACAGAACTGTCTTCCCACGCCTCATTGCGAGACTTCAAAGAATAGCCTTGCCTAGTAGTTACAATAAACCCGATAAAAAAATATTGGCAACCTTTTCCTGAAAAGGAATTAACGAAACAGGCACAGAACTGTCTTCCCACGCCTCATTGCGAGACTTCAAAGAATAGCCTTGCCTAGTTCTAGAATCTGCCTCACGTAAGAATTTACCAGACAAAGTTGGTATTCATTCTGTCAATTGATTTTAAAATGAGGCCACTTGCAACTCGACACTGATGGACTACAGCGTCATTAATTCATATGACCTTAAATGTTTATACGGTTTGAAAGTATATTTGATTAAAATAAAACGATAAATAAACACGGATTAATAAACGAGAACTACATAACAAGTGCATCGATCTCAAGCATGCACAAAATATAAAGGTAAATTGACGGCTCATTGGTCTAGTGGTTAGTAGTCGGCTGAGACGAACATCGATGTGATGAGCACTTGGTGTTGTGCTTAGGTCTTGGGTGTTTAAATATGTATTTATACGTCTATCTATCTATAATATGTATGTATGTATATCTGTTGCCTAGTACCCATAACACAAGCTTCACCAGCTTAGCATGGGACTAGGTCAATTGATGTGAATTGTCCAATCATAAAAAAAATAAAGGAAACTATACATAGACAAAAAGAAATAATTTATTTAAAAAAAACCCGGTTCCTAAACCTCTGGAATTTATGGAATGTTGTCTCTCAAAATGAGAGAACTTTGGTGAGGTTTAATAATAAGATCCCGTTTAATTCCCAATCATTACAAAAGTAGAATATACAGCTTAGATTTTTTATATTTTTTTATTGTTATTCTCATATAATAGCTAAATTCAGTACCGTCGATCGGAACCCCTTCACGGGTAAAGGCCTCCTCCAGCTTTTTCCAACTGACTCTGTCTATGGCTTTCTTTCTCCAATCTTTGGTCCTTTCCATTAAGTTGTCTTTAAAGTCCATTTATCAGTGCATATTTCGTCTTATTTATCGCTTTATTATTTTATGTATTCTTCTTATTTTTACTACTCTTCTTTTCCATTGCTTTCTGGCATGTTCACGTTTGGGGGCCGTATTTCAAGAATTGTATATCAATACCAAAGCGGTTATTGATATACAATTCTTGAAATCTTTTTATTCATCATGAGAGCGTTAGAAGTTAGTAACTTTACTATCTTTGTCTTGTTATTAATAACATCTTCGCAGGTGTACATGCGATGTACCCTTTATCTTGATAAGATATGAAGTGACCAAGTTTCAGTATTGCGTAGAACTGTCAATACAATAATCCAACAATAATACATGTAATGTATCTACTTGCAGATTTTTGAGAATTGAAATTTGTAAATATATATTTTGTTTATATAATGTTTTGATAAGGCTCTATTGTGTCCTTAAGATATTATATGTTTATCTATTTCACTGTTGCCTTCTACTTACAAAGCGTTTGTTGTTATTGTAATTCATTATATGTACGAGCAGTCTCTTGGAGATAATTAATTTTATCACTATATCCGCTTGACCGGTTAAAATTGGTATTTTCAAATAGGTTATCATTCACAAGAACGCTAGACCAGTCGTAAAGAAATCTATTTATTTTCGTTACTATGTTTTAATATACATTATATAATACGATAATATGACCTAGAAACGAAAATGTAGCAACGCCACTTCACACACTCACCTACATTTAACATAATACGATGACCCAAATTCAATATATTAAATAACTAATTCAATATTTGGACGTATTTGCGCAGCTTTTTTTTAAGGTTATCTTTACGCCGCAGAGAGTTTGTTATTGTTTGATTATTGCTCTCGAGTACGATAATATTGTATATTATATATTATATACTGATAATATTAATTTATTTACAGACAAACAACAAGAGCTCGATTTGCCGTCACTACAAGTGGACGAGAGCACTGAACGCACCAAGAAAAAGGAAAAGCCACGTCATGGCGGACCCGCGACTACTATGTCACAAGTACGTTTTCTTCCCGTTATTCTTATGTGTTCTATTAATTTTTATTTATATTAATTTAGTGTCATAAAATAGTTGCAAATTCGTTTTTGAATAATGTTTCGTGGTTAATCTTTATAAATGTTTGATATTTTTACCTTTTGTTGTACATAATATTTTCAACCATATATTTATTTTGTATTTTTACTTTTTCAGATTACTGGTGTCAAACGGACTCTCACACACACAAACAGCTTCACTGGAGAACGTGTACCACGATACGGTGTTGATACTCCGCACGAGGAAGAACTAGGCAAATGTTTAGCAGAAATTGACCGCTGGGGTGTCGACATATTCCGTATTGGAGACCTTTCTGGTGGTCGCCCTCTAACTGCGGTAGCTTATGCTGCATTTTCAACAAGGGAACTGCTGACTACACTTCAAATACCTAATAGAACGTTCCTCGCCTTTGCAGTGACACTTGAAGAACATTACATTCGTGACAATCCCTTCCACAATTCTCTTCATGCAGCTGACGTCACACAATCCACAAATGTTCTCCTGAACACGCCGGCCCTCGATGCCGTCTTCACACCTATAGAAATATGCGCTGCTCTGTTTGCTGCCTGCGTACATGATGTGGACCACCCGGGACTCACTAACCAATTCCTGGTCAACTCTAGCTCTGAATTAGCTCTAATGTATAACGACGAGTCAGTCCTTGAAAACCACCACCTCGCCGTGGCCTTTAAACTGCTGCAGAACGAAGGATGCGATATATTCGTAAACCTACACAAGAAACAGAGGCAGACGCTGAGGAAAATGGTCATAGACATGGTGCTGTCGACCGATATGTCCAAACACATGAGCCTTCTGGCAGATCTGAAAACAATGGTAGAAACTAAGAAAGTAGCCGGCAGCGGTGTTTTATTGCTGGACAATTACACTGACAGAATACAAGTCTTAGAGAATCTCGTACATTGTGCCGATCTGAGTAATCCAACCAAACCCTTACCTCTGTATAAGCGATGGGTCGCGTTGCTAATGGAGGAGTTCTTCCAGCAGGGAGATCGGGAGAGAGAGCACGGGATGGATATCAGTCCTATGTGCGACAGGCATAACGCCACGATAGAGAAATCTCAAGTCGGTTTCATCGACTACATCGTGCATCCCCTGTGGGAGACGTGGGCGGATCTGGTCCACCCCGACGCTCAAGATATTCTAGACACGTTGGAAGAGAACAGGGATTACTACCAGAGCATGATTCCGCCATCTCCACCGCCTGCACCTATTCAAGCGCACTCGAACGTGGACGACGATCGCCCTGATCAGATCCGTTTCCAAGTAAGTATTTCACGTGTAATCTATACTTATCACTATCAGAAACAGTCAGTTGCAGAATTAATTACGATAATAGTGATATACATAGAGCTGTTGCTAGGTAAAGTAATTCGATAGACGTTTGATTTGAATTTTGAAGACACTGTCTTTTGTGGACTAGCTGAGGAATCGACTCCTAATGGGGGTCTTCCCTGGGAGATACGACTTCCAATTGTTTAAAGAAAGAGTATATACCCCTCAAAGGCCGATAAGGCACCCACTAAAATGGGTGTCCAAGGGCTGGTTTGCCCCCTATCCACAAAACCTCTATCTGTTCAGTAATCTTGTAATTGGACGTTGCAGTTGGATATTTTTTGCTTTAAATATAATTTATTTACGAACTCTATCATTCACGTAGTCAATTATTAAATAGAGTTGTAATGTTCCCAACGAAAGTAGAAGTTGTTCTGAAAAGCATTTTATGTAAATGTAGCATTGTTTCTCTCGCCAGGTGACGCTCGAGGAGGGCGAAGGCTCGGAAGAATGCGAGGGCGAGGGGGACGGTGGGATGTGACGGAAGTTGTTGGGAATCTGCAAGAAACTCTCTGAGAAGATGCAAGTTTGGTGGAAGCTCTGGCAGTGAGCGGACTCCGCCGCCTGAGCACGGCCCGAGGCTTGTCGGATCACACTCGTTGACGCTTATACCAGTTTAACCGACGAAATGGGACGAGCGCTCGGGGCTCGTGTCATTTCGTACATTTATTTGTATGTGATTATTCGCAGTGTTTAGAGTTACCTAACAACTAAATATATCCCTCCAATGACTGTATCGTTCGATTGTTTAGTGTTTTGTAACTACGTTTTTTGTCTAACCAAAGATATTTCTCTTTTAGTTAACTCTCGATTTCCCTGTACGTAGCTGGTCTCTGTAAATTCGTGTAAGTAGATTTAGTGTCGACGCCATAATGTCGATTAATGTAAGAACATTGAAACGCTTATTAATTGGTATGAAAGGGTAATTTATATTGTCATATCATCCATATTTCTCATTATATACGGGTTCGCGCTAATGTTAATCACAAAATTTATTAACATTTAGATATTATCTACGTAAACGTGATTTAATGTTAAATTCTTCGAGTTCTGTCTTCTCTGGATATTATATATTCGGTCAGTCACTTGTAAAAAGACACAGTCTACTTTAGTTCAATTGTTTTATCGATGGCACCTCATTTATCATACGGATCGCTGGCGATCCCGTTTTTTTCTCTTAGAGTAAATTATTATTTTTGTATATTACTTATAAACTTAGTTATCCAAAAATTAGTGAATTTGATGCGACTAACGGCTTGAGAAGTGTGAAGTACTAACAATGGTGTGGTTTGACCAAGGCGTTGATAATCAGGCCGGGTTTTGCAATAGTAATAATTAGAATAGATCAAAACCTATGCGCACAACACCATAATGCTTCTGTACCTGTGCGTTTGAACTATGTTCTGTTCCTGACAAACACTGAAATAATCTATAAAATGTATTATTTGCATTTCATAGTATCCGTTGACTTAATTTACAATAAGTTTTATTATGAGCTGGTCTCTGTGTGTACTCAATGCTATTTCTTGATTAAATGAATTATTTGTTCCTATCTATATTTCTGTTTTTCCTTTACTGTGTCCTGATCATTCATAATCGTGTAAGAGTGATGGTCCAATTAAATACACTTTCGTATATAAAATTGAACCCATAAAATGTGAAATTTCTTTCTCAAGTTTAATAATAAGTAAATTAAACCTTAATGTGTCGACAGACGAAATGAAAACGCTTATTTACTGTATGTTGTAGATATGCTTAGAAAAATTGTTTTTAATACATATATAACAAGAACCCCGTAACTCATATACCTAATGTAGGCGCTGTCCATGTAATTGACACGAAAGCAGGGTTCTCGTTATATACATAAAGAAACATTGTACGTAATAATTAATGTTGTATAGACTTGTGTGAGGAATCGCACGTTTTCTAGTTCGCAGGTCTATAAACCTATTGGCTTTATTCAACCTTTGTAATTGTACCCGATAATATTGAATTAATTATCATTCTAAAATGTAACTAGTTAATATACTGTTGTTATAAGGTAATAATGTAACCTTCTTTTTACTGATTGTTTTTTCGGGAAAGACTAAATTTAAAAGATTAATCAGATTCAACTCACAAGCTCACTACCAAAGAACAAAGTAGGTCGTATTGTGCATCTGGTATGTCACTATCGAATTGATTTCGTGTTTACATGTAGTATTAATGGGTCTGACTGAGATATATAATCAACTAATCACCCACGGAATGCCGAAACCTTGAAATTAATTCAATTAAATAATTGTATTAAAGCAAAACTATTTCTGGCAACACTGCCAAAAGACAGTTGACGCGAGGTTATATTTAATAGTCTGTGCATTTAGTATTATAAATCTCAGTTTTCCCCTTTTTGTTTCGTCAGTTATTGAACTAACGTTATGATTGGATAATACATAGATTATAAACACGGTGTTAAAGTGTGCGATGCTGGTCATTTGCATTACTTTTTGTTTATGTATGTTAAAAGTAAATAGCTTATAATAGTTTAAATGAATCTTTGAGTTGATTTAAAAAATATTAATGTATTTAGAATAAAAAGATATGGACGAAACTGTGAAACTGTTTTTATTTATAAAGAACCTTACAATTAGCAGCTTTATACCTTGGTTGAATCATATACATTGTTTTATGTCGAAAAAGGTTTTAATAGTAACGAAACATTTTTGTGCATATTTAAAACTGGGAATTGCGCCTGACCAAAGCGTATCCGCCAATTCTATAATTTAACCCATACTTAGAAAATTCAGCAATTGTTATATTCATATATTTTTTAATAATCAGGGCAAACCGAAGAAGGCTCACCTAATGTTGAGTTATATCCATCCATGGACACTTATTGTTAGAACGCTCGCGAGTGCGTTTCTGGCCTTTTATAAATTGGTACATGAGCAGAAGGCTCACCTAATGTTGAGTTATACCCATCCATGGACACTTAATGTTAGAGCGCTCGCGAGTACGTAGCCGGCCTTTTAAAAATTGGTACGCTCTTTTCTTGAAGGACCCTAAGTCGTATTGGTTCGGAAATCCCTCTAGTGGCAGTAAATGCCGGAAGTCTCACTCACCCCACGAAACGCGAGTACAATATGAACCTAGTGTTAACTTTACGCCTGTTTTCTGAGAGACAGAGATATCAAAAATCAAAATATAACATTTATTATATCAACATCAATCATCACCAAACATACAAAAATATTCCGACTAATTAAGAACCTTTAAGACAGGTTAAAAATAGTCTTTAAGGTCTGTAGATACACAAATGTATATGTTGTACTTATTGCAATCTGTGGTTGTCAAATACATTTAAATTATCAAGGAGGGTAGCACAAAATTTGTGACCGTAAGTTCCGACCGTAATCTTTAGACCGCAACCTGACCGCAATCTAAAATGGATATCAATAAACGTTTCAAAAGATTCAATTTAAAAGTATTAAAAACTATTGGCCAGGGAACTTATGGGTGCGTAAGTGTATTTCTATAAAATATTTAAATTTTTTGTAAAACCCTTTTCTATGTAGAAGTGTATTTCAATAAAATATTTAAACTTTTTGTAAAACATTTTCTTTGTAGAAGTGTATTACAATAAAATATTTAAACTTTTTGTAAAACATTTTCTTTGTAGAAGTGTATTACAATAAAATATTTAAACTTTTTGTAAAACATTTTCTTTGTAGAAGTGTGTTTCTATGTGAACGACGAAAGGACAAATCGTTGACTATCGTGAAAGATATTGAATTGAATGTTAAGATGCAGGCTCATCACAAGGTATTAAGTTTTAATTATTAATTACGATATTTATCCAACGTATATAACCTCCAACTGCGAATCCTCAAACATATATCGAAAAATACACTCGACTCATATAAAAATGAAGCAAGGAAACATTTTAAACACAGTAAAAAACTGTCCATGACAGAAAAAGTATTTATTTCCCACATAATTATTTAATCTTTACAGTTATTACTAATACGATAACAATAACAATAGCCTTTTTTCCAATACTTAATTATGAACATTGAAGTTTCATTATATGGATCCTAAAAAATTAACTTTTAACAGTAGGTATTGCATAGTCAGGTTTTGGTTCGTACACCGACATAGGCTTATTCCATCCGGTCCCAATCGTTCTATCGTGGGCCAGGTGACTCTTCGACACTGATTTTAATTCGCTGTATTATGATAATATATTATTCTTGGATATTCTTAGAAAATATTCTTGATTCTTGTTCTAGTGGGTTCAGTCCTGACTGTCTGTCTTTAAATTGTTTTCTACTTCCAACTTTTGCTGTAATTTCACGAACCATACGATGGTATGTTGGGTGGGTGGTATTAATTATATCTATATTTTCGACGGTATGATGATCTTTTAATAATATAAAAGTCGATTTCATTAGCGGTTCAAGTATCAGTCCATGAATTTTTGGTGTTGACTACATACGATAGAACTACATAATAATATCTACACTAATCATTTATTAAAATATATATACCTAGATCTTATCATTAATAACATAACAAGCAGCTCATATAAACTCAGCCAGTGTACAAACAATTAGGTCTACCTCGATAGAAACCTTATTTATTGTATCGCGCGGTATATCCAAAAGTTGTGACTTACGTACTGTCTCTGGTCGAGCACTGTTTTTAGAATAAAATAACGAGTTGAGCTGATGTCAGAACCTAGCTGGAACGCTAGTTCGGCTCTGTACTTCGAAATCAATTAATTAATTATGGTGAGAGATCGTTGAAGCATTTATTACCGCGGATAATAAATGGACTGGCCGGTCAGTTATTAGATAGCGTAACGTTAAGCAACATAAAAGCGCTCGCGCTCCTAACAAGACTATTATTACATTATTACAAACCGCAATGGTTTTAAAATGGTTATAACATGATAAGTATTATTCTGTCAAATAAATTAATAAACATCAATGATTTTCTTAAATATTATTAGATTATATTTCTTAAATATATTCTTTAAACTGTTTGTAAATATAGTATATGTTACTAAAATAACATTTGAAGTTGGCCTAGTAGTATAGATTCTGTGTCATGGAAATAATTTCTTTGAGGCATGTCGTGTCCCGATATTCTCATAAAATATTATAATCACGTCGTGAACTGAATATCCCTTAGTAATGTTTTTTTTTTTTAAATTGAGAAAAAGCTTGCCAACGCTCGGCACATTGACATATTCGTAAAAAAAACACAAAATACAATTTTTTATGTGACAAGCACTTAAAGGCAAACATGGCATACATATAGAGATTATAACCTATTATTAAACAAAACAAACATTACAAAAAAAAAGAAAACTCTAACAAAGAAAAACACACACCAAAACAAACAAACATTGTTGAATAGGTTTAGTTCAATTTTATAAAAACACTTAATAAATCTAACTTAGATTGACCATATAAAAGTTAATAGTGAACCCTCTTTTTACCTACTTTCAAATTATTAAGTCGTAATTGTAATTGTTTTAGTATTTTTTTATGTTTGTCTCAATTTCCCACAGGATTGCGCTAATGAAGTTAACATTTTAGCGTCTATGAATCATCCGAATATTATAAAATTCTATAACTGCCATTACACCGATAGTCATGTATTAATATGTATGGAATATGCTACAAGTGGTAATTTAGCGGAGTTTATGTACCAGAAATGTCCGAGGCTTATAAAGCAAGAGGTATGTTCTATTTTAGGAACTAGGAAATTTATGTTACAATCGAGAAAATAAAAATCTTTGTTTCAATACATTTTTGATATACGGTCATATTTAGCGCTGAATCTCGAATTAATATAATAAATATAATAGAATTAATTAATTAAAACTAAGATCTTTTAATGTTTTGGTCAATTATAAACCTTTATTGCCATACAAAAAGTGTTTTGTCTATACAATTCCAGATTATTTTTTGCCACAGCCATTGCTCCCCATGCCTACTTCGACAGTTGTCTATTCTCGTTGACTTAAAAATACTTGTTTTTTTGAACAAATTCAGGCATATACAGTCTAAGCAATGTAGGAAGCAGGCCCATTTAGTCTGTTCTACGCCTCGAAACATTTAGTACAAAGTAGATTGTCTATTGCTCTCTCTGTAGTTCAAGTGATTCATACCTTTATAATCTTCTCGATTTTTAGGAAATACTATTTTACTATTGCCAAGTTCTATTAGGAGTTAATTACATACATGGATTGGATATAATTCATAGAGATTTGAAGGCAGAAAACATTCTGCTTAGTGGAAAGAACGGAGTTCTGGTAAAGATTGGAGATTTTGGTATATCCAAAATGCTAGCAAGGTAAGGTACTAAAATAGCCTAACAATATCATTGGCCTTATATTTTTTATCGATTCACTCATTGTTTTGTTGGTATTCAAATTTGTTGAAAATGTAGGTGGGTATTAGGACACTCAACTTATAGCAATTGCTTTTCTTATTCTTAAAATGAAAACGTACATATATCGCGTTATATCCCTTTATCTCGGCCAAAAATGTTTGTTTAGAACAAACGGTTAGGAGACTCACCTGATATTAATTGATACCGCCCATGGGTACTCTCACTGCCAGACGGCTGGCGAATGCGTTGCCGGCCTTTTAAGAATTGGTACGTTCTTTTCTTGAAGGAACCTAAGTTAAATGGTGGTGTGCTGCAAAAACTGCGTTAAAAAACGCTCAGTTGTGGAATGGCGGACGTCGAGGTAATCCGGGTGGAATATTGAATCTGTATCTGTGTCTTCATTTAAAAGGCAAATAGGTGATCCTTTAGAAAATAAAGCACGTTGGAAATTTTTAAGACTAATACAAGCCCCACGATATCTTCCTTTACCGAAAGAGCAGGTGTGGTGTGGTAGAAAGAAAACCTTCTGAGATCATGACTGAGCATCGCACACTTAAATGTCTCGCTAATCTATACTTTCTCCCCCAAAATTAAACTTGTTATGACAAATCAAAAAAAATCCTATGTCTAATAAAAAACAACAAAATTTTCAGTGCTAAGAAAACCTCTACAGTTATTGGAACACCTTATTACTTGGCACCAGAGCTGTGTGAGGGCAAACCATACGACACAAAAAGTGACATTTGGGCTCTCGGGTGCCTCCTCTATGAAATGTGTACACATAAAAGAGCATTTGATGCTGAGGTAAGTGATCAAACGGCTTATTCATTCAACCAACAGGTTGAAACTAAGAGAATTTTAATTTAACGAATTTGTATGAAAATTGTTACGTAACAAAGCGTGCGCTAATGTCATTCCTTTAAACGTGCTTACATCCATATATGACCGATTACATTCAATCATAATAGAATATTCTATATTTTATTTCAGTCTCTGATGGGCCTCGTAAAAGTAATAACCAGCGGAAGTGTCACTCCTATTGACTTGTCTGTCTACGAGAGAGGGGTTCAAGATTTAATTGACGCTATGCTGTCAGTGTTGCCAGACAAAAGGCCCACAATTAAGGAAATATTGTCTAAAAAAGTATTACTTTCTATGATTTATACTGTTTATTTAGATGCAGGCGATGATAAACTTTTGAATACTAAAATCAAAGAATTTGTGTAAAGACTAAATATAGGTGGTATAGTAATAAAATATTAATTGATTGTTATAATGTATAAACCGTATCTAATAAACCATAATATCCGTTATATATTAAATTTGGCGGTAAGATTATTGTGATTTAGTTTATTTCGGCACCCTTTATTCTATTATGCATCAAAAATTCAAACTACCAATTTACAAAAATGGTGGCAAAAAAATTACAATAATTATCGTCCAATAGCTATATTAGCAATTATACTAGCCAACAATTAACAAAATAATAGAAAAATACATAATATGTAAAAAAAAACAAAGTTATTATAAAAACACTATATTCTTTCTAACAAACAATACGGATTTCAAACAAATACATCATACAATACAATATCTCGCCGTGCACACGTTATTTTGTTGCATCCACGATGACATTTAAAAACTATTATATCTCGTAACAAATTAAAATGAGATGTGGCGAGTAATTTTGTTCAAAATTTAATGCTTATGATGGAAGACCTTTGGATATTAATTGAATTAATATAAAGTTCTTTATATTATAATTAATATAAATAGAAACAATTGCGTTTATGCAACATTTTTCATTTACACTTCGAAGTTTAAGTTCCTAGTCTGTAGATAACATTTAGCCTCTATAGCACGTTCCATTATTATTCTGTGCATTTAAGTCAATTTTCATTGATGACCAACTGTCAATCCTAAAATTTCGATTCATAATTTTTCGTATTATATTATCAAAATTTTAGTATCATAAATTATTGTACTTTTTATTTCAGGGCTACAATTGCAAAAGTTACTCATTTGTAAACAATATCTCACCACAATGGGGCAAATGCTGGGATCGTACAATGCCCGAAATGTAGATCTTTATATGGATGATAAACCCACTTTCAATCATCAAGATGGGTTTGCAGTTGAAAGAAAACAACGAGGTAGATTTATCTTGTTATGAATAACAAGTTTTTCTTTAATACTCTGCAACCGAATAATCTCTATTCAGTTTAAAGTGTGTTTGTTATGGGTTATGTAATATCACCCTCTCATTACCAGATGCAATCAAAGGGTTGTTTATATATTGCAGAAATGGTTGTCCCAGAAGATCACCTAGTATCTGCAAAAATTCCGCCGAAATATCGTGACTACTGTTCAGATCATTTATTGGAATACCAAGTGTGTCGCTATAACAAATGGCCAATGTTGTACAAATGTGCCCATGAGAAACATAACTATTTAAACTGTGAACACCAAGAGTAAGCATTTAATTTTGAGTTTTATATTGTTTATAATTAATTTTATAAAGACTGGTCTAATTAACTTTAAACACTGAAGCTGTTTGATGTCATGTAATTAGAACTTATGTTATGTACCTGTTAGTTTTGTTTACCTAATGTTTTTGTTTTAGTTATGTTCTACGTATGAAAGAGTTTGAACGTGAACGACGCTTACGCATCAGAGAGAATCGTCTTGTAGGAGTTGCTTAAGTAAATAGTGAAATGGAAGTTTGTAAATAAATATAGATCAGTACCCTTTTGTTTCATTTATCAAATTTATGTATTAAGAATATAAATAATGAATAATATCTTTTACTTCCTGTAAGTTTGAAGATAAATTACAAAATTGGTTTGAAATTTTGAGTCTAAAATGTCTGTTCTTCGGAGTTAATGTTTAATTTGGATGTTAATAATCACATACATTCAGTTTTCACATGCATTTGATTAATAATTAATAAACACTTAACGACTTAATATAACTATTTATAGCAATGACATAAAAATTAAAAATATATTGTATTTTTCATATTTGCGTTGCACTGTTGTATTAAAATATAGTAAATTTAAAAATTACGATGTAAGAACTAGGAACGTTAGATGTTGATTTAATCTGTGAAGTGTGATTAAATGAAACACTTCTCGACGAATTGCAGTCATAGACTGTAGAACCAATGTAATGACAGTCTGATGATACAAGCGCAGGGACATCTTGTTAATTGTTGCCATTTACAAAAATTATTGCTTTAGGAAATTTTGTTTTGCTTGAGATGTCTTTAAAGTCCTTTTTCTTTTGAATTATTTTAGAAATATATAACAAATAACAAGGAAATTATGACTTGGGGCGAGTCCGAAAATGAACCGTACATTTTATTTTGACAAAATTTAGATTACCAAGATGAAAATTGAGCAATTTTTGTAAACACGCTCATCGAATACACAATAATTTTGTAGGTAATAATAGTATACTTAGGCAAATGCTATTTATTGCGGAAGTAATGGCTTCCGAAATTTTAATTGCAGTAGTTTATAATAATATAAATTAAAGTTAAATGTACTGTTACTACAAACTTTTCTTAATCAGTGACAATTTATAAAAAATACAATGGATTGGGTTTGATGAATACATTAATTTCCTATTCAAGCCTTTAACATCTCATCTCGCCAAAAGTGTACAAAGAATGATCCTCTAATTTTCAATGAGAAGTGGATGTTTTTGAAGAGAAAATAATAAATTCATATTGGTGACCACTCACAGTGTTTATAAAGTATTAACATGCTTTAATGTGACACAATTCATCTTAGAGGATACTAAAAAGACAAGCATCGGAATGATTTGTTTACAATGAAATAAAGCTCATGGAAAAATGTCGATATTAGGAAACACAAACAATCGCGAAGAAGACAGTATGTCTGAGGAGGATATGATGGACAGTGAGGACGAAGATGAAACAATCGCTAGAATACAACGCGCTCATTTTGCGCAAGCTGCCGCTATGAACCCTCGTCGGCGGCCGGCAGCAAAACCGAGGCGCATGAGCCAGAAGAGAAAAATAGAAGCTGTACGAAATTTCCACGACTTTACTAAAAAACTTAAAAAAGACACTGGTATAAAGATACGAAGTTTAGGTGGTGATGATTTATTAGAATTTAGTGATTTTTCTAGTGAGGAAAACAATACTGATAGTGACGGTTTATCAGAAGAAGAATTTACTGTAGATCCTAGTGCAGTGAAAGAGTTAAATGAAGAAAATGAGAGCTATATTGATCCTGAGACTGGTGACTTTGTCGAGGCTAAGTTAAAGGGTGCAGATTCAAACAATTCTGTGGCCTTGGAACCGACATCATCGGAACAGCAGTTAGAACCTAAAACCCTTTCAATTAGTGATATTATTGATGAAAGTGGGTTAGATTTGTCAAAAAATGTTGTAATAACTGAAGTTGAAGAAAGCGACCTGTGTCCAGAAAAGACTTCTGAAGAGTTATTGGATATTAAAGAAGATAGTAGTAGTAGCCAGAATTTTGATATAACAGAAAAGTTAAAAGACATGGGAGAAATAAGTGTAAAACCAGTAAATAAAACAGAGGATGAAGATGATAGTAATAAAGCTGAAGATGAAGACGAGGTATAGTAGTTCTTTCTCAATTGTATTTAATACTGTTTATATTGAAATAATTGAAATTTGTGTTGTATTAAAATTGTAATTTCTTATTTTTAATTGATTTACACTGATTTCAGATTCTTAAATAATATTTCTTGCTGTCTGACTGTATATTGTTTGTAAATAAATTATTAATGCATTTAATAATAATCCTTTAGCTCAATTTTATATAATCTATTGCTTCCACAAAAATAGTATTCAAATTGGGGTTTAAAGCAAAAAATTAAGTAAAATTCTCACAGTTTTTTCAGTAATTCATATTGAAATTAACATTTCTTAAATTAAATTAATAATACTGTTATAAATATTATTACAGAAAAAGCTTAATTCAAGTGCATTGAATGTTCGCCGCAACATCAGGGAAGTTATGGATGAAAAGAATTTAGATGCATCAACATTGACAGCTCAAAGGCAGGAGTCTGAGCGTTTAGCCAGAGTTCAGGAGCAACAGAGAATCATAAGAGAGGTAAACTTCTAGCTTACCATCATTTAATGTGTATTAATAATGTCTATATTAATATAATAAATCTGAAAAGTTATTTGCTAAATATGGTTATCTCAGAAACTACTAGTTGTGTTTAATAGTCAAGAACATAATATAACATCATGCTTTGACCAAAGAAAAGTGAAATGCCAGGGCCAAGTTTAGTTACCATACTCATGTAGTTATATTGTCTTCATGGCCCTTGCAATGTCCCATAGATTTATATTTATGTTTTAGGTTATCTCAAAGTGGTAATCCCATAGGAAAAATCAATGTGCATATAGCGCAAGGCACAGAAGGCTGATCACCTACTTGCCTTAAAATTTAAAACAGATACAGAAATCTATCTTTGTCTATATTAGAAAATACTATACACCAGGTTACTGTCTATAATTTAAATGAATTTAACTTTAAGCATTGATTTTACTTTCCAGGTACAAAGACAAATAGCAATAAATAGACAAAATAAAATTCATGAAAAAACCATATCGCTTTTACAAGGATCATCGTTACTAAAGAAAGGAGCTGCACAAAAACTTAAGTATGCTTTTAAGCTTTCATATATTAATTGTTCACATAAAGTTTAAAACCTGTTGTAATCTGTATTGTTGTAATAAGGTGTTTTAATTCTTCCTTTTTATTCATTAATGCTATTAAAGATGTTTAACTTTTTATTATTAATAGCTTAGAACAGTTAAATTTTAACACTTAATTCTGTCTTTGTTTCAGTTTACCAAACACAGTATTAGTGAAATTACCTTCTGGGGAAATAGTTAAAAAGACAACCACAAAGCAGGGCCAGTTGGAAGTGACGAAAGTACCTAAACCGACTACATCTGCCTCAGCTTTGGCTCAAAAGTTAAAATTGGAGCAAAAGGGAGAGAAAAAGGAGGTAAACACATATATTTCATATATTCAATTTCAACTTGAAGATCTCTTGGTATTAAAAGATTGTACCTTCACATATGTATTGAGTTGAGAAAATTAATCAATAAAGCTTTTTATAAATTTGAGGAATACTTAAATGATCCTAATCCTTGGCGATTAAAAATAGTGGCAGAGAGTTTCTTGTGGTTCTTCTTGCCCGCTCTACGCCCTTGACTTGCGAACTGGTAGTAAATGTAAATTTACAATTAATTTAACTTCTTTCTGACAATGCATAAGTGTACTTGTTTACCTACATGAATAAAGATATTTTGAGTTTGAGTAGATAGGTGGGTAAATTCACATTCATCTATTTGAAGGAAGATATTCTTAAGTAATTCTAAGAAGGCTTTTATTTTATTGCATGAATAAAGAATGTCATATTTTATCTTCTCCCTGACTTCTATCTTCTGTTGTATTGTTGTTGTGTCTGTTGTTGTTTGGAAGCCAAAAGTACTTAAACTTTGTATTGTTGACTTAAATCAGACACATTTAAGTTACCAATAAGAAAATCCAAATAGGATTGGATGTTATAATTCTTACAATTATGATCATTTATTTACATTTAATGTTTAATATAAAAGAATGATATAATCTATGATTAATGATTACTTTTAGGTTGTGGAAATAGTTGATAGTAGCACCGGTGAGGAGTCTTCATCTTCATCATCAGATTCCGATGACTGTATAATGCTGTCAGATTCAGAAGTTCCACCTAGCCCTGAAGCTGAAGAGGACCCTGGTAATTCAGGTAGAAACATTTTAATGCTTCACTATTTTTCTAGTACTTAAATATTTTATAATTATCTATTTTAAAAACATCATACAAGTATTGAATTTTTCTTATTTTAAATACAGCTACATTTTATAATATGACAACAAGATCTCATTTCAAAGACGTTTCATTCATATGCAATTTGCAATTATATAATTGAAATGTTTTATTTACAATGCTACAGTATATAAATACTTTGCTCAGTTTTATTGATAATATTATAAATATGTTTAATATAAGAATGTTTTAGTATTAGACAGTGTGTTAATTTTAACTCAAAGGTTGTATGATCGCATCCCAGCTGTGAACCAACAATGGTTCTAACACTTTACCAAACAAGGAAGGAAGTTGTTAACAATATATCTCTATATACATAAAATTCTCGTGTCACAATGTTCGTTCCCATACTGCTCCGAAACGGCTTGACCGATTCTTATGAAATTTTGTATGCATATTCAGTAAGTCTGAGAATCGGCTACTATCTATGGGTGGTCCGCCCCAGCATTTTTTTTTTTTTTTTTATGATACAACATACAAAAATACATACAACCCCTTTTCACCCCTCTAAAATCATTCCCTATTTTTTATTATTGTAGATAGTTATTTTTATTGAACTAAAAAAATGTTTCCTAGACATAATATATATGGAAAAACAAATGTTTTCCGGGTCAGCTAGTCTTAATCATAATTATATCTGTCCCATGCCCAGTTTGGGGGTTACAACTTCCATATAGCAATTTAATATTTTCAGGCCTTCATGTAAATGATGCATACAATATGCCGGATGAACAAGGAAGGGTACAAATAAATATAGGGCATCCAGAAAATGAGGAAGACATCTTTTTAGCTCCACAAATTGCAAGGATCATTAAACCGCATCAGGTATTCATTTTATTTAATTTTTGAAACTCGGGGCTTTAAACACTCATTTTTCAGGGAATAGAATTTGAATTATAATGTATTATAATCTTTTTGTGTTGCTTTTTTTTAATTACAAAAATAATGTTTTTACTTAGTGTTATTTTCTTGTTTTATTTGGTAAACTTGGGGATGATGATGGTGATGTTGATGATATGATTTATTTTAATTTTAAATAAGGTTCTTAATAATACTGTTCTTTTTTTTTATTAAAAAATTATGTTAACTTTTCATTATTTTTTTTGTCGTTTCGTTACTGTAGTTCTCAATTAGTACTAGTACTAGTATAGTAAATAAAAAAATTCAATTTTAAAGAAAATAAATGATATCTTTGTTTTCCAGTTTTTAATTATAAAAAAATTACTTTTGATTAATTTTTTAGTTCTTGTAAACTGCCATTTCGAAGTTGTTTTTTAAATATTTAATTAAATCTGTTTGACTTTACCTTGACTTGCATATGCCAAAAACAATAACATTATTAGATAAAATAAAAAAAATTAACACTTTATAGCTTGTACTGTATGAGTTTTTCTTTCGATCTCTTTAGCGTTACATTAGTATTGCAAATAATAATAATTTATGACTTAATAGTATTATTTGTATTCCTGACCATGGACATTATTAATACATTTTTTAACCTATATTTTCAGATTGGAGGTGTTCGATTTCTCTTTGATAACATAATTGAGTCGACAGAGCGGTTTTCCAATTCGACTGGTTTCGGATGTATTTTGGCACATTCGATGGGACTCGGAAAGACATTACAAATTGTTTGCTTTTGTGATATATTCCTGAGACATACTAGTTCAAAAACTGTGTTGTGTATTATGCCTATAAATACTCTGCAGAATTGGGTGAGTTTCTTCATAGTTTTCAATATAAAAGAAAAATTACACATCCTAATCGGTTTGGATTTCTTCGTAAGTCACTGGTGTCAGCCTAGTGGCTTCAGGGTTCTACTAATCCCTGAGGTATGTAGATTCGAAAGCACTAGGGGGGAGGGGGGATCTTTGATTTTCTTATCTCTTGGTGGTTACTATGTCATGTTTTTATGTACTATTATTTTTGAGAGCTTTGCTTATTTTTGCAGACAAGAGGAGGGGGGGTGTAAATTGCAGTAAAGGGTTGTAGCGCCACATGTTTTTTTATAGAAAAGGATCGAACAAGCAGGAAGCTCAGCTGATGATAAGTGACACCGCCGCCCATGGTTACTCTCAATCCCGGAGGGCTCGCGAATGCGTTGCCGGCCTTTTAACACTTCGTACGATCTTGACCCTAAGTCCAATTGGTTCGGAAATACTTTACTGGGTAGCTACACATATATAACGCGTCACCAATTTATAATTTGTTTTGTAATTGCAGGTTGCAGAATTTAACATGTGGCTTCCCGTGGATGCGGCCACCAGCCCCTTAGCGGCTCACGGCGAAGTCAGGTCACGGAACTTCCCGATTTATGTGTTAAATGATAGTCACAAAACTCTTCAAATGCGTGCCAAAGTAGTTAAGGTAATTTATTAAATATTTAATTTCATACGTCACGTGACACAATGGGCTTGGATTGGTTGAATCGATAATGACGTAACATGCTTGTAACCTCGAATAAAAAATGTATCTTTTGTAAAGATGGATGAAAGTTTCAAAGAATAAATGAGGCTTCATTATTATTAATGCAGTGACCAGTGTCGGCTTCAGTGTGCGACTGTCATCCTGGAGGTTTAGGTTCTCTCGGTGAAGGAAACCATCGCGAGGAAACCGGCTTGCTTTGACCCAAAAAGTCGACGGTGTGTGTCAGGCACTGGAGGCTGATCACCAACTTGCCTATTAGATTGACATATGACCATGAACCAGATATAGAAATCTGAGGCCCAGACCTAAAAAATTTTTTTTATTTTAATTGTTATTATTATTATAATATATAACTAATAAATATTCTGAAATGGTTTCAGGATTGGACAACGTCAGGTGGTGTCCTCATGATAGGATATGAACTATATAGATTGTTAAGTATGAAAAAAGATAAAAAACCTCGTAAGAAAAAGAAAGCAGATGCAAAGTTGGAGGCAGAGAAAGAGAAGGAAGATAAGAAGAATGATATAGGGAATGATGATACCACTCAGGTATTCTATTCATATTTTTTTAATGTAATAGGAGACAAAAGGGGACCTAATTATACTCTTATTTTTAATTCCGTAGAATTCTGATGGCTATCATTTTTTGACATGTCAGAGATGACAAACCTTTTGGCCGGGCACATTTTTCTATTTCAATACGAATCTGAACATCTGAGTCTATTCATACATTTTATTTGTTAGAATGTATCCATTTTATTATGTGCGGTGGTCCACATTAAAAGTGGTTTTAATGAGCGTGATAATTACGTCCCATTTCATCACTAACAGTAAAAAAACGTAAAAGTAAGAATAACATTTTATTTTTTAAAAAGGTTTACTAAACCTGGAATTAGTAGGCGATGATGCTAAAGAATAAAATAAAGTAATTAAAGTTTATTCGATATGTTGTTGGTGATATTGCAATATTCTTTATTTTTGTATTAGCTCACTTGTGTAAGTAAATATTTAGATTTACCTTTTTGTAGATAGATCGTGAAAAATTTGTCGCATTTTATTTTTTATTGCCTTCAAATTGGTCAAATTTTTTAGTAGCAACACTAATGCCTTGATCACACGTACCGAGCAAACCGGCGAGACAGTACTCTCGGTCGAGTACTCGGTACGTATAAACTCGTATAAAGCTCGGCCGAGCGCTCGGCCGAAAGATGTGGCGAGACAATAGCTCGGCTACCGTTCTACTTACTAGACCGAGTGACTACCCTCCCGCTTCCCCGCACTGTCTCGCTCACTCACTCGGCACGTTTGAACGTACACTGTCTCGCCGCTCGCCACTCGGCCACATGACACACTGGGCTGGGGACACTTGATCCCCTATTTTTATTTTTATTGTTTTTATTTTTTTTTGCCGTCGTTGAATGTATTATACTTCTCAGTTTAGAAATTCAATATTTATCAAACATTCGAAAGAGGCCAATTTATTAATATATTTCCGGTCATAAATTAATAAATAATCAACTCTTCCTGATATAATATCAGGGAGAGTAGTTTTCGGCCCAAATATCATGAAAAAATACCAGTTCACCATACATTTGGGAGATTTCTACTGTTGTTAAGGATTAAAGTATCTATAACATTCTTAAAATATGTCCTCTAGGGATAATTTTGTATGTTTTCTAATGAAAATTAATGAAAAATTCTAATAAGTAATTTTCTAAGGAATGAGTAACTTTGTATATTTTCTAATTATCTTTTTACGATCCATCTTGTCCGAATTGTAGTCTTAATAGAACTGAATGATTTCAAAATGTGTGTGAACAGCTACTCGCTTACTACACTGTCTCGGCCGAGAAACATTTTACTGTCTCGCCGGTTTGCTCGGTACGTGTGATCAAGGCATTATTATATGTCGGAACTCTACGGAATTCAAAATCAGAGTATAGTTGAAAAATACCTAGACTTAAGATTATTATTAACAGGGCTCCGATGGTACGACTATGACTAAAACATCAGACGATCGTACGGAAGATGGAGGGGAAATAAAACTAGAACTTGATAAAGAAGATAAGAAGGAGGACACGTCCACTGATGAGGATAAGAAGCTTCTAGATGGTAAGAATCATTGGTGTTTTATGGATGTTCCACGACATTATTATTATCCGCCATCCATTTATTGTACACTTGAAACTATTATTATTTTAACAAGCAGCAAGGAGTCTACCTTAGATAAAAGTTCTATCAAATTTAAGAAGCCGTTCTATATATTTGAGAAATAACTTGATAAATACTTTTTTATTATTATTTACCCGCTCAGCTATCAAAGTGTGTGTTTTTGATTAATTATTTTATATTTTAATGGTTGGGCTGACTCTACGATCGGGATCGATATAAAGATCTTGTGGTTTGTTGGTTATACAGATCTTCCTTGCGTAACAGTTTTTTTTACCAAAAAGGATCTTATTAGTATTTTTAATGTTGGTTATTGTAAATATATCTCCTTCAAGAAAATACCGCACCTATTATTAGAAGGCCGGCAGCGCGCTTGCGGCTGTGAGTGTCCTGTAACATAAAAAAATGAAGAAAAAACGTATATCAATAAACACAGTAAATCCCCTTATAACACGGTAGATTGCTTCCGCGTTATAGGAAACACGTTGGGATATTCTCACATTATGCGCTTGTATGATGACCCCGTATAACGCATTATGTACAAATCAATTTACGTTTAACTTTTCTCGTCATTATAAAAGTTGCAGAAATATAACGTGAAATCTCCGCGTAATATGAAAATGCGTTATAAGAGTACCGTGTTATAAGGTATTTACTGTAATCTAAAAATCTATGAGTCGTCCAAGTTAGACAATCTCTTCTAATATTAGATTTTTCTTGTGTCTTTTTTATAATTTTAATTATTTTTTTATAGAAATGTTCGAAGCGTTGGTGAAACCGGGTCCGGATCTGGTTATTTGTGACGAAGGACATCGAATAAAGAACTCTCACTCGAACATTTCGTATGCTCTCAAGCAAATGAGGACGAAACGGCGTATTGTACTAACTGGTACGTATTTATTTACGCAAAATGTGTGTTTGTGGCATCGTAGCTTCTAAACGTATGGATCAGTTACGATGCGCAATTCTTTTATTATCAAGGTTATTTTTATTTGCGGTAGAAGGTATACAGTGTACGCTCATTATAACGGCATTCGTTATAACGCAGAACTCGTCTATAATGTAACCATGAGTTAAATTTGTTTGGTTTAACACAAAACACATACATTTCATTCATTCTTTATAACGCAACATCCATTCTCTATTACGAAGAAATATTTCGATATGACATCAATAACATACTTAAGTGTAATTGTTTTTATAATCAGCTTATGAAACTATAGACAATGAGGAAGAATTTCAATATGAAAGAAAGACACCTGAGGTCATAAACAGCCTTCTCGCCTTTGTTATTGTTAATTGCATTAACACGTGTGCCATTATTCTTAGATTACATTACCTGTACGAAATTTTGGTCTCAGTTACTAAACGCACCATCGTCACCTATCGTGTATTATTAGTCGTAAACAAACTTTGAAACTGTCAAGATGGCCAGACAAAATACTCAAAAAAATACAAAACAAATATTGGCATAGCAAAACACGTCAGGCAAAGTTAACAGAATATATGTGTATAGAATAATTTACCTATTGATAGTAATAAAATTAGAAATTATTGTAATAATTGGTTTAAAAAAAATTCTCATCCCTCCGTATAACGAAAACTCTCATTAACGAAAAAAATGCTCGGTCCCTTGCAAATCGTTATCAAGAGTTTCCTCTGTATATATATGTAATATGTGTAAAGAAGTAAATAATAACTTTTGACATAATCACTAAATAAGAAAAACAAATTTGTCTACAAATTCAACGCTGAATGAAGGATAAAAACTCTAAAAATCCATTTTTTACAGGCTATCCACTGCAAAACAACCTCCTAGAGTATTGGTGCATGGTGGATTTCGTGCGTCCGAACTATTTGGGTAGCAAAACGGAGTTCTGTAATATGTTCGAGCGGCCCATTCAGAACGGACAGTGTATTGACTCCACGCCGCAAGATATTCGACTGATGAGATATCGGGCACATGTGCTGCACTCTTTGTTGGTCGGGTTTGTTCAGAGGTATGTACTGTAATTGATTTTATATACTTAAATTGGGCAAAGGATTCCGAGTCAAACTATCAATATATATAATATTCAATGTTCGTTCCCATACTCCTCTGAAACGGCTCGTTCTTATGAAATTTTTTATGCATATTCAATAAGTCTGAGAATCGGCTACTATCTATCTCTTAAACCCTTAAGTGATAAGGGGTTAAACAAATTTTTAATTTTTAGACAATTCTTTATGTTTTTATTTTGTATGATACATACATAGTTATTATTATTAAACTAAAACAATGTTTCCTAGAAATAATATACATGGCAAAACGTTTGTCGGGTCAGCTAGTAGGTTATAAAAGATATTGTAACACATGCGCACGGGCATTTTACTTTGTTCAAGTTTGAAGTTATAAGTCAGTGAAGTGAATTATAGTGAATAAAGTCATCATTGGAGTTTTTAATTTCCTACCCTAAGAACTGATCAACTGGGGCTTACAAGTAAATTTTAAAAGCTAACAGTCTGTAGTGTTATTTGACACTTATGTTAAAAATCCTTATTAGTAAATTAAGTTATACTTAAATTACTTATTAGTTTTAAGTAGGGATGCATCCGATACCGATGCCGATACCGATATATCGGCATCGGCGATATTTTAATTGCCGATTCAACGATACTTTTCAAACTTCACGCTTTAAAAAAGTAATGTAAACGCGCATCTTCTATAATCTAGTTCGTTGCAAACGAGGTACGGACTATCGATGCCCGAGAAATGCCCGCGTTTTATTCAGTTTGTTGTCTCTCTCACCCGCTTTGTCAATTAATTAAATTAGATAAGATAGGCAAGAAGCGCAAAAATACATATTACATAGTTATGAAGATAAAAAAAAAACAGGCACTTAAAACAAACTAAACTAAAAAGTGCACATGAATCACGTTAATTTAAAATCCGTCTCACATAAGTTAGTAGTTAGAACGAAAAACTCTTGTTGGATTAATTAGTAGACCAAATTTTTTACTCCAGTCAACAATCTTTGCCAGGTCATAGTTATTACATTGAATGGCTTGCTCGAGATCATTGAGACTTGATTGAACGTAGATTTGAAAATCATTTAGTTGGCTTTTAACTTTTTATCGCGAGTAGTATTTTTTCGATACCAAATTAAATAAAATACACAATTACAAAAATATTATCATTGTTAATTTTAATCATTAACAGTCATTAATCATTAATAAAAATTACAAACTTGAACTAAAATTGATATATTTTACCTTAATTTAATTTTAATTCAATAAGCGTTGGTATCGGTATCGGAATCGACGATATTACTATAAGTGTATCGGCATCGGTATCGTATCGGCAAAAAAGCGTATCGATGCATCCCTAGTTTTAAGTAAGGTTAGATCGTAATCCATGTCTCAGAGAAGAGACTAAAGAAGAGAGAATGTATTAAAAAAAAGCTTAACCGCTTTCAGACGATCCCACGCGGTTCTCCAGTCGACTCTTCCTCAAAAGGAGGAATACGTGCTTTTGGTACGTTTGACGCCGTTACAAAGGAAATTGTACGATCGGTTCATGAATGAAGTCGTTCGCTCGGCTTCCGTGCCTAATCCGTTGAAAGCGTTCGCTATCTGTTGTAAGGTAAGATATGTTCAATTTTTTTTTTTTAAGACAATTCACACCAATTGACCGAGTCCCATGCTAAGCTGGTGAAGCTTGTGTTATGGGTGCTAGGCAACGGATATACATACATATTATAGAAAGATAGACATATAAATACATATTTAAACACCCAAGACCTAAGCACAACACCAAATGCTCATCACATAGATGTTCGTCTCAGCCGGGGATCGAACCCGGGACCCATGGATTCGCAGTCAGGGGTACTAACCACTAGACCAATGAGTCGTCCAAATTCCACTTCAATCCAATTTATTTACACTTCATTGCCATAATACAGATAATTATACATATAGAAAAAAAACTAAAAGTAAGTAGGTTACATAAGTTATTAGGCAACGGGCGGCCTAACAAGCGATTTCTTCCAGGCAACCCTAATTTCGGAATTTCTAAAAGTTTTTCATAATAAACGTAAATTACGTTACGTATAACGAACCTCATACATTGTTCCGCGCCTTATCATTCGTTTAGCCTCAAATTTAAAAAAAATATTAGTTAAAATATATTTTACAGCCAACCTCGTGTTTGATTGCCTTTCTCCATAAATTTAAGATAGATTATGTATAAGGTATAAAAGATTTTTTTTTCTCTCGTTTCAATTTTTTTATTAATTGTATTTTTTTAATCATTTAGTTCATCACCAAGGTAGACCTTTTAGTGTTTTTTTTATGTTTTCTGCACTTTTATTTTATATATAATATCACAATATGACCGTAAAAAAATAAAAAAATAATGAACCGAATTCGATGGTACTAACTTTCCCTAAATTGGGAGAAAAAGATCATTCTCAAATACAATCCAAAAATATCACATACATACGTTAACAATGAGATCCAGTTTTATAGCTTTGTATTAATAAAAAAAAGCACTTGTGTTACGGTGGAAGAAATCATTTGTACGTAGACTTTTAATCTTGTCTCATGAATGAAGATCGTTGAATAAGAAATCATTATTTTTAGATTAATTCACAGATTGGGTTTTTAAATGTTACACGAAACATTTAAATGGTCTTATTATCCAAACAGATTTTGTTCGGTATAACTGTTTATTGTTTATTAAAGAGTACCGAGAGTTTTTTACGCCGGCTTTTTCTCTCGGCCTACACCCTCTGTCTTCTTTGCCGATTAGTAGGGATTAATAATTTAATGAAGTGGAATAAGTGATACCTGTATCTTATGTTCCATAATAAACATATTTTTTTCTGTTATTTTTTTCAGTAATTTCCTTTTGTAATTTTTATACTCTGTGAAGCCTGCGATTAATCTGTACATTGTTGTGTAATCTTTAAATAAATATTCCAGATATGGAATCATCCCGACGTGTTGTACAACTTTCTAAAGAAACGCAGCGAGGTCAGTGCGGCTATTGAGGAAGATTTGGACTTGGAAGAGATCGGTGGAGTTACGAAGTCTGGCAAAGCCAAGAACAGTAAAGCTCAGCCGAGGCGACCGGGAAAACCTCGGGTATTTATTTAGTTTTATTTATTAAAAAAACATATAAATATCATTTGGGAAAAAATAAAAAAAATAATAGAAAAGTCAAAACAACTTTTTTTTTAATACAATAGGAGGCAAACGAGCAGGAGGTTCATCTGATGTTAAGTGATATCGCCGCTCATGGACACTCAATGCCAGAGGGCTCGCTAGTGAGTTTCCGGCCTTTTTAGAATTGGTATTGGTAATATTTTGAGTTTGAGTTTGAGCTTTGCTTGTGCGTTGCCGGCCTTTTAAACCTACCGTTAGTTTAATTAACCATCTATTTAACTCACCATTTCTCGTTTGGGGTTATGTTAAAATCAAACCTCGGATCTTTAGCATTAATGTATTAATACTCAAATTTACTTATAGAAGCACCAGTTCTAGAAAATTAAAAAAAAATCACTCGGATGAAAGACGTAATGTGTATCTAAACTAAGAAACTTCTTGCAGGGTTCTTCGAAAAAACCTGCAGCGACAATCCCCCCAAACACAACAGCGCCCGTCCTGCCTAAACAAGAACCGTGCAATAACACGCAGTACCCAAACGCTCCATACGGGCCTGGGTATAAAAACGACAGACCCGGGAATTACCCATATCCATATCAAAACTCGGCCCCGGGGTATTATCCACCCGGCCAAGGTTATAACAACCAAGAATATGGGAATAATTACTATCCCCAACAACAATACGATAATAACTATTCCAACCAATACCCACCGAATCAGGAACAAGGATACAACCAAAATTACTGGGGGAACAATTACTATGGAAATTCGGGGTACTACAATAACGCCCAGTACCCAGAAGGCCAAGCCCCGCCCAATTTCAATGCGAGCCAACCAGGCTTTGAAAATTCTCAACAGTATCAAGCTAATTATAATTCAGCCAATAATCCAATGTATCCTGGTGCACCTAATCAATATCCAAGTGGGCCTAATAACAACAGTGTAACCCCTTACACTGGCAATCCTCCAGGAAGTTCATACCCACCAAGTAATCCTCCAAATAATGCCCCGTTTCCACCTGTACCGGGTAATGTTCCGAACAATCCACCATACCCTAATCCTACTCCCAATCCGTCTTATCCCACAAATAGCCCTCATAATAATCCTCCTTTTCCCGGTAATGCTCCTCCGCCTAATAATACTTATCCTCCAACTAATCCTCCATATCCACCAAATAATCAGGAGAATTATCCAAATCCCCGACCTCAGCAGTATCAAGGTCAATATCCAAATCAACCTTATGGCCAGTACGAGTCAAACAGTGGTCCGTCACCGTACCCAAACAGTCAAGGCCCACAAAACTATAATTACCCACCCCAACAGTACCCAGGCAATGCATATCCCGCAAACCCACCTGCGTCGTACCAATACGACAATCAAACTAACTATCCCCAAAATTATCCGCCTCGGCAGGAGAACCAACCGGCAATTAAAATTGAAAGTAATGGAGATCCAACGTTTTCGGCGAACGTGAAAACTGAACCCAGTACTGCACCCCAAAGTACACCATTTGGACCTTATAATTACAATCAATCGAACTCATATGAATCCCAAGGAGATTATAATCAATTTCCGAACTATTCTCAGCCTTTAGAAACAAAGCCGCCTCTATGTAGTGCCAGCTCTAGTAGTCCTGTGACGTCATGGCCGATTCCAGAAACTATGAAATCCGAACTGGATAGAATAAAGAATGAAGATAAAATAGAAACGAAATCTGAGTCCGACGGGGAGGTGAAAATTGAAGATTTAGATACAAAAACAATTGTCAAAGATGAAGTAAAGAAAGAGAAGCCGGCGATAACTGAACCGGCGAAAATCGAATTGAATAAACCAGATACGAAAAACGCGTCAGATTCAGAATCTGAAACGCCAAAGAAGGGCAGAGGGAGAGGAAAAGGTAAAGAAAAGAAAGAAAAATCTCCACGTCAATCGAAAGCTAAAGCGAAACCTAAAGGCAGAAAGGATAGAAAGACATCGAAAGAGAAGAACGACGACTCCGAATCGGATCAGAGTGAGAAAGAAGAAAAGTTAAACAAAGAAGAAGAGATGGCTCTTGTAAAGAAAGCAGAGGAAATGACATACGACTGGGCAACTGATTTATTAAAGGATTACACGGCTGGCATAATTGAAAACTCTTCGAAAATGGAGTTGTTTTTCTACATTTTGAACGAAAGTATTAAAATGGGAGATCGCCTTCTACTCTTTAGTCAAAGCTTGTTTACATTGAATTTAATCGAAGATTTTCTTGAGAGAAATTACATTCCTGGAACTAATCGTGTTTGGGAAAGGAATACATCCTACTTCCGTAAGTAATTTTGTTAATATTAAGTTTATTTAATATACCAAAAGCAATATTAAATATCATTTATTAATACGTAACAGTTTTACACTTAAGAACGTCAATAAAAATGCTTCTCAAATTATATTTACTGCCAATGCAGGGCCGTAGCACGGACAAGAACTGGCAATAAAGTCCTATACTCTTAGTTTTTACTTTAGCCAAAAACTTAACAAATACGACTCTCGATAATTTGAAACTCCAGAACAACCAAACTTCAACCGAACCAGACATAAATTTCTAATCACAAAAGTTTAAAATAACAAGCAATTAAAAAACGAGGGGGAGGGACTCAAGTAAGAGAGGTCAAGAGTTTGATCAAAATTCGTAATTTATTATTATATTAACAATTAAATACAATTACTGTCAAAATCTGTTGTAACGACATTGAAGGGACCCATATTTGGTCGTAAAAACCGATAGTCGTAACATCCGATGACGTTATTTAGTACCTAAGAATTCAGCCGGGACCTTTGATGTTGGTCAAGTATACGGTTTTGATTCTATTCTATTATTATTTCGAAAAGAAGTCTATAATCTTTTTTTGAGTTAGCGAATTCAGTCTGACTATTCATTATTCTAGACTAACTAACTTTTGTAAGAACTTACCCATATACATTTCTGTATACAATAATTGATAGTCACATTATAGAGAATAGGAAAGCTTCTTTCAAATTATTGTATGTTGGCGAGATTCCTCCAACTTCTAATTACCAAGGGGACCAATTAACATTGATTTTATTCAATTTATCGAGTATTTTTCAAGGGACCGGAATTCAAATTAAAATTATCGAGAGATTTAAATTACGAGTGTCAAATTAGTAGTCCACTATAACAAATATTTTTGAAGTGAAACTTCTTTATCGGGGTTGGAAAAAAATTTAGTGTAACATTTTTTCGTTACGCGTCACATTTTTCGGTTAAGCGCCATGTTGCTTTTTGATGTCAAACTTCTTTATCGGCGTTGGAATGAAACTTCTTTATCGTATGGGAGAAATTTTGTAGCAAATCGTCACGTTTTTCAATGATAGTAATAATTCTATTACAATTAATGAAATTCTATAATAATATTTGTAGTAATAAGGTAAAATGAAATATTTGGATTCATGTCTATGATAATAAAAGCCTTTTGTTAAACTTTATCTAATTTAACGAATTTCTGTAAAGTTGCATATAGTAGATCATTTTTCGAAAAATAAGATCTTATTTCTTAGTTTCACTTCTTACGTGTGTACACCTAGTACACGCACAATTTTTTTAACTTCTAATTCTACTCCTAAATTTAATATAATTGATTAAGTTACAATATTCTCGCCTTGGTCAAATTCTGATAAATTTTAATAGGTTTGGATGGATCGACCCACGCCCTGGAAAGAGAAAAACTCATAAATGAATTCAACGCGAATCCTCATGTTTATCTCTTCCTGGTGTCCACAAGGGCTGGGTCACTCGGTATCAACCTGGTGGGAGCGAACAGAGTGATCGTATTTGACGCCAGTTGGAACCCTTGTCACGATACTCAGGCCGTTTGTCGGGTTTACAGGTAAAGTTTATTATTAAATATACCTTCAGGGTCAAAGTCTTACTGTAATCCGCATTGACCAAATTATTTAAGGATATAGTATATTTCATTACAAGTGCGGAAAGCCTGTCATTGCAAAGAGTTTCGACAAATGTCTACCCGAGCCGAGGCGCAGCCGAAGGTCAGGGTTGACAGTCGGAACAAGTTGCAATGACGGTTCCGCACGTGTACTGAACAACTATTTTTAATACAGTTGCGAAAAAATTATGCAATTTAATAAAATAATAAAAAAACAACAAACTCAACTCACTAATCATTTATTTCTTATACAAATTATTGTTCACATATACATTGGTACAGTTTTTTATACTAACTGGAGAAGTTTTAGGTTGCATATTTATTTACTGTTTGAGACAAACTATTATTAATTTCGTATGATTGTTCATGTATATTTAATATATAATATAACAAACAACTAAACGCGCAAAGAACATTTATGGAAAATGGCGCCAACCGTAAAAGAATATAAGCAGATATTTTTTTTTCTTCACCCATTCTGGGTAGGCAAAGGGAACTATGCCCATACAGCCAAGTCTTCAGTACAATTTTTTATTGATATGAAATGAAATTTAATGAGATGAAATGAAATTTAACCTAACTCATTGAATCAAATCATTAAATCTGATATTGAAACAAAGCAGTAGCTTCTTTTTAGAAATATTTGCATGAATCATAAAAATTTCTATGATTTTTTTTTAGTAAAAACTTCGTGGTTGGTTTTTCTTTTTAATAGACATTATTTTGACAGTTGGGAAAGAAAACGCACTAGTTCGGAAAAGGTAAAAAAAAAGCACGAGTGTGTAATAGCCCACATCCCGAACGCTATACGTCCCTGCAATACGCCACTTTTTGAGCAACTGTATTAAAAAATATATAAAAAGCGAACAACGCTTTTTCGCACGCACGCTGAAGCCACTAGGTATGGTATACTTTGTCCAGTGTTGGCCAAGTGGCTTCGGCGTGCGACTCTCAAAAGTCAAAAATAATTTATTCATGTAGGTAACACGATATACACTTATGAACGTCAAAAAAGAAATATACATTAAATGCTTCTAATATATCTCATCCCTGAGGTCGTAGGTTCGATCCCCGGCTGTGCACTAATAGACTTTCAGTCTATGTACGCATTTTACATGCACTCGAATGGTGAAGGAAAACATCGTGAGGAAACCGGCTTGCCATAGACACAAAAAGTCGACGGCACATCAGGATCACTTACTTGTCTATTAGATTGACAAATTATCATGAAACAGTTACAAAAATCTGAGGCACAGACCTAAAAAGGTTGTAGCGCCACTGATTAATAAAAAATAAACACTGAAAATAAAAGAATGTTAAAACTATGTGGTCCTAACATTCTTGTTTCACACTTGTTACTTTCCAGTACTTAACACTACATAATTGTAACATTTAGGTATAAAGAGTCAGTAGGTAGTCATGAAACGTTTTACTATTGGGTACAGAAAAACGTTACGGCGCGTTACATGGGGGGGGGGTCCAATAATCTCCAAAAATTGCGTGACGTAATAATTAACGGTCCCTAATCAAATTAATAAAAAAATATAATTAGCAATGAATTAACGATGAGTATGTAGAAGATTTATTTCTTATCCAAAATCTTCTTTTATAGATACGGTCAAAAGAAGCCGTGTTTTGTTTACCGTTTCGTGATGGACTGTTGTCTTGAGAAGAAGATTTACGATCGTCAAATCAACAAGCAAGGGATGGCGGACAGAGTGGTTGACGAATGTAACCCGGATGCTGTACTCTCTATGAAAGAGATAACTAACCTCTGTTTCGATAATGATGAAAAGGTATGTACTTGCTTATATTGTGGACTCCTAGTCGAACTACCTGGCAGAATCTTCTGGATTAATATTTTTTATATTTTTTTACAGCTAATATGATACCTAATTGATAAACTTCTCTCTATAATAAAATTAAACAACGTGGGTTTGTTCGCTAATTATCAGAAGTAATTGACTTTTATACTATATAATTATATATACACACAACATATGTTTTACGTCCTAATATAATTGATGTGTATGTATGTAAAATTTGTGAAATTATATTTTCTTGTATATTTTAAGCATACATAGGACTTATAAATAAATAAGCAATTCAGTTAAATGAAATTTGCCACTTGGTGGCTCGAATCTAAATTCTGCCTATTTTCTATTTCTCTAAGTCCTTGCGGAAATAGAAGTAAAACTTTTACGAACATTTATAATTATTTTTTGCTACGTATCAATTAATTTTAAAACAAAAATTTTATATTTTGAATTTTTGACATTATTTTTTAAGATAGTGTCGGATAGGTCCATTTGACGTCAAAGGCAACAGATTATCCACACTAAAATAAACCATTTCAAAGGTTTTAAAAATTAAGACATTTAGGCATATTTAAGAAGAGAGAAGAGATTGTAACAAAATGCAGTGTTTACCCTGCAGCGACCTCTAATCCCACGACGTTCAATGAACGTCCAATTTCTCTATACTTGAAGATAAAATAAAACGTTATAAAATAAAAATTAAGTATTGCAATTAGAAATTTAATGTAATGTTTCAGGAAACGGAGCCAAAAGATCTCCAAGAGTTCAAGGATAAGTATCTAGACGTGTTGATGCAAGGCATCCTGACGCTTCACAGCAAACTGCTGACGAAGGAACCCTTCCAACATGAATCTCTACTCGTCGATAGAAAAGAGAAGAAGCTGTCCAGTGCCGAGAAGAGATTGGCGCAAAGAGGGTAAGTTATTTTTTTAGTTTATTCAAATACCAGGTGACGAAAAAGTTTTCCAAGGAAAGCTTTTATTGTTATCTTTGTCTTACGCTTAATTATTGATTGTCAACTGTCTTTAATCGTTTAAAACTTGAGCTGTAAACTAACATAAAATTAGGAGGGTTGGGGGGGAGGGCTAACATAAACAACCCCACTAGGTTGCTAGACTAACAAAAATCTAACTTATTAAAGGGATCTTCAATCTAAGAGACACTTATGTTACATATAAAGAATATACGTAATTGTGTAGTCGACCTAATGGACATAAACGGAAACGAGAATATTATAGAACAATTTATGAGTGTTGGAAAAACTATAGGGCTCATTTTGGCTTTAATTGTGCGATGATTTCTGGCACTGGTTTACGCTTGAATAAAAAAAGAGTGACGGAGAGTTTATTGCCAGTTCTTCTCTTCCGTTCTACGCCCTTGAGCTGTATGAACTGTATGCGATATGGACAAAAATCCAAAAAATCGGTCAAGTCGTTTTGGAGAAGTTTTACTTCCTCAAAACAAATTTTATATATACAAATATATTTAATACGTCCACGTATTTAATATATACATATATATTTAATACGTCCACGTATTTCTGTAATTGTTTTGCACTTATGAAAACAAACAATAATATTTTTAATAATATGAAAAGTGTTCCCAGTTGTTGATGTACTAAAAACTGTAATTCCCGTGACTGCCAGTTATATTTATTGTGTAGAATAGAAAAAAAGGAATAAAACAAAAATATTTCAAAAGTCTTGTCTTTCGGCTGCTTATTCAAAAATTGCAGTAGGCTAAACACCAATAGTTAAGAAAAATATGAAAAATAATTGCCTTTTTTCTAGGTACGAATTAGAGAAGAAAGCGGCCCTAGCCCCAAAACCAACAACATCGTACCGCACAGTGCGCACGGCAGACGGTAGTTTGGTCCAGCGGCCTGTCGCGTCCGTACGGCCGATGCAACACGGAGCAAGGTGGATCCCAGCTGATGTATGGCGAAGACAGGGAATGACTGCGCAAGAGATGACATTGCCGTTAGGTAAGAGTTGGAGGATTCCATTTTTTTTAAAACCCTTTTTTTTTTAAATAAATTGTCTCTTCACTGAGACATCATTCGACACGTTCTAGCCTAACTTTAGACTTATAAGTGATTTAGTTAACATAAGAAAGTGTCAAATAATACTCTGTTCTTGTGTTCAATTTTTTCTCTTACCACTGTTTAGCACTTATAACCTATACAGGAACTATTTCACACTACGATAAAAGGAGGAATCGATTTAAGGAGGAAATTTAGTTTTTTTTAATAGAACAGAGGCAAACAGACTGGAGGCTCATGTGATGTTAAATGATACCGCCGCCCATGGGCACTCTCAATGCCGGCTCGCAAGTGCGTTGCCGGCCTTTCGTAATTCATAGGTTAACCTAATTTATCCTTACATATAATTCATACACATTACATTCACTCATTCATTCACATTCACCCACACACGCATTCATGTGTGGTATGCGTCGGTAATGCTCTTTTAAAAAAAGCAGTGAGAATAAATTGTTGTATGCTTAAACCATTTCAAAATTAGAATTAAACTTGTTTTATAACAAGCCTACGGGCTGCCCAAAAACGGCAGTCATCGCAGCCTATGGAAACCCATTTTAGTGGGTGCGTTGCCGGCCTTTGAAGTACTTTAGTGTACACTCCAACTTTGAGTAGTTGGAGGTGCTTTGTTATAGAATTAACTATTAAGTTTATTATGGAAGATCTCTGACTGACTGTATTTTTTAGGGTACCCAAATCTTACACATTGTAATGTATTGTTATAATGAATAAACATATTTGTTTTAAATCTATTTCAGACGTGGTTATCCCAACGAACTCATCCGAAAAGACCAACATTGTTTTAAAGGCTGGTCAGCGGGTGATGGTTTTGAAATCGCCTAAAGGGATTTATATGCAGCTTGAGTCTGGAAAGATTATTGCGATCAAAACAGCGCTTAAAGGACTGGGGCCAAAGGGCGAAACTAAGGAAACTCCGCTTGGGAAGAAAAGTAAGTTATAGACAATTTTTGAAGTGAAACTTCTTTATCGAGGTTGGAAAAAAATTTAGTGTAACATTTTTTCGTTACGCGTCACATTTTTCGGTTACGCGCCATGTTGCTTTTTGAAGTCAAACTTCTTTATCGGCGTTGGAATGAAACTTCTTTATCGACGTATGGGAGAAATTTTGTAGCAAATCGTCACGTTTTTCAATGATAGTAATAATTCTATTACAATTAATGAAATTCTATAATAATCTTCGTAGTAATAAGGTAAAATGAAATATTTGTATTCATGTCTATGATAATAAAAGCCTTTTGTTAAACTTTATCTAATTTAACGAATTTCTGTAAATTTGCATATAGTAGATCATTTTTCGAAAAATAAGATCATAAAGAAGTTTCACTTCTTACGTGTGTACACCTAGTACACGCACAATTTTTTTTTTATACGTTGTATATTACGTACACGTGTACTCTAATTAGTTTTGAAAAAACCCATGAACAAACCCAACCCTAAAAGACCCATTCTACTTGTCCCGTTGTGTTTGCAAAAATCTGATCCCATTTTTATCCCTTTTCTAGCAATTGCAAACTTTCTCTGTATTTAGAAGCGATACCGATATAATTATTGAATTTTCGTACTACATACCGAGATCGCTTCGGTTTGCGCTAAAATTACTGTCTGTAGATATGTCATATCCAAGTTAATGAATTGGCATCGGTTTTACAGAGCCACTGAGCTGGTTGTATTAAATTTCCTTTATAATTAGCATTTTAGTTGACATGGTGTGAATTGTCCAATCTTAAATAAATAAAATCATAAATATATTCTGTTTTTTTTTATCCACGATTACCTCTGTTTCTACCAACCGTAACCACCGAAATACTACGGTAGGATCAATAATTTATATCTAATTTCTTAATACAGGCTGAATGTATTGTAATCTCGAGCTCAATTTGAGGCTATGCCAAATAATCATTTTAGATATACATATACTATAACGACATCAGAATGTATCGTGTGTTTCAATGATAATGTTTGTGAGCTGGAAAGTAGGATATAACCGACATTTAGAACTCTCAATTATATTATTTTCCGTGAAATCAGTTACTCCAGTCTCCATGAGCTTTTAATAGGCGGATCTGCTTGAGAGGTATTAATTCACAATGGCTGCTAATGTTATTAATTTTCTTTTCCAGTTATGAGTAGTCGACCATCACCTATAAATATTCCCGGATCACTTAAAAATAATTCCGCTATCACAATCACTTCTAAATCCGGTCCTCGCTTCCAAAGATTACAAAGCAGACCCTCGTTAATGGGCCCAAAAATGTCTCGATCGCTGTTGCCAGGACAAAAAATAGCAGAAATTAGAAACCGTTTGGGAGAAATGCGGTCTTACGGCCCACGACCAAAATTACCAACACCGCAAATGAGAATGCTAAGACCCGGGTTACCTGGATCCCTTAGCATCACTAAGATTCCCAAAAAATCTGACGAAAGACCGAGAAGCTTTGAAGAGGAAACTCAGATTTTGGATAGCGATGACGATGAAGGCAGAAGTGAACCAAGTCCGGCATCGGATAAAGCTGATGATTTAAAGAGTGATAAAAAAGAAGAGTCTAAAAACCAAGATGTCGGAGACGAGGATAAAGATAAGACCCCAATAGTATTGACAACGACTGAACAATTGCCCTCCGAAGACGTTCTAGAAACGAACAAAAACGAACCAGAAAAGACCGGACAGGATAATCCAATAAACTTAGTGGGTAGAAAAGAGAGTAAGATCAATCTACTGAAAAATTACAGACACAAATCTATAAGCAGACCGCAAACTGAATCTAGTCTCAGCCGGTTAGAGAGAACGGCTATCGCATTAAACAGTGACGGAGTCCCAGATTTCAGAAGAAACTTGGACGATATCACCCAATCGTACTCCCCAGAGGAGAAAAGCGGTAGAAAGAAGAAGTCGCCGCAGAAAATCGAATCTCAAGCGATGTCTCACTCTGTGTCCAGTTTACTAGGAAACTCCAAGCCCAGGCCGGATTACAGCTCGAGTAAACCCCAATCCATGCCTTTGAATATGACGCATAGCGGATTGATGACTGGCGGTTCCACGACGAGCAATGAATCGAGTGACTTGCAACCTTCCAACTCAGTGTCGCCGAACGAACCGTACCCAAGTGGTAGTGGACCTCCGGAAGGTTTTGGACAATATCCAGGTAAATAGGTCAAGTTATACTAACTTACTACTAAAAAAGTTCTCCACCAAAAAGGGACTAATTTGACCCATTTTAGGGCAATAAAATAAAATGCTACGCATTTTTTTATGTTTTACTTCATTATTTCAATATATCGAATTAACTTTAATGACTTTATTTTATTCTTTGGATGACATGTTATCTTTACTTGTGCGCTTTTTACTGTTTGTGATGAAATGGGACGTAATTGTCACTCGCCGTAAAACCATTTTTAATGTTGAGCACCGCACTAAAATGGATACATTCACTAACAAATGATTTGTAATATAGTAGTTAAATTGGGGGGAAAATGGGTAATTCGAAAAATTAAATCAATGTCGTTTTGAGTCAAATAAATTGTTTTTTTAAATTCAATGTTAGAATTAAAATTGACTTTTTAGTTGCAAGAGAAATATTTGATAATTATGGCATAATTATTGACTAGAGACTTATTTTGACGGTAGATTATCAATTTAAACAACTCGTATTTTTATGAATGTTTGTCTTGTGACATTATGGATTCGTGTGGATACATGAAGATACATTCCTCAATGGCCTCACTGAAACATTGGTGTGGTCTAGGCCCCATTGTCCACGGCGAGAGTATTGAATGAGGCCAATTTTATATTGCACAGTTTTTTTTCTTTAAGCTGGTTGATTTTGTTCAAATGTATGTATAATACAGTATATAGTTGAGTTGAAAAATGATGATGATAATATATATGTGTATGTATAGCTATAGTGGCTGGACAGATTTTGATTAAATTTTGTGAAAAAAAATAAATGATTAAGGTGAGCTGAAAAGTTCGTAAGCTAACTTAGTAAAATCCTTTTTTTTATAGAATTTGCTTATTGAATATAGTTGCAAGAGCGATACAACGATTATAGCGGTCATATAATTTTTCGATACCATTTTTATAGTACGATTTGTCTTTAGTCTCAAAGTAGGCTTTAGTTTCGGCGACCTCTTCATCAGCGCAAAATTCAGCGAGCATTCTCGGAGGTCTGAGAACAGGAAAAGTCGTTAAATAAAATAAAAAAAAATATTACGATTGACTAGCACTAAATGTAAAAGTAAAAGCACTTAATATGTATTTCTTTTTTGACGTATTTAAGTGTACATTGTGTCACCTGTGTTATGAATAAACGATTTTGACTTTGACTTTGAACAACTTCAACTGCCTAATTATCATCCATTTGTAAAAGTAGCATGACAGTTGTCAAATGTTTATACGTGTCTTTTAAAGGTCGGAGCTAACTAAACATTATAATAATACTAGTAGCGCCATCTATGTGTCAGCCTACGAACTTTTTAGCCCACCCACTAATTTTTATTTAAATGATTATTAGGACGTGTTTACTGGACGTCTATCCGGTCACCTAGTAAACTTGTATAAGGCAATTCTTCTTCGTATATTAATAAATGGTCCAATTGAAGTTGTATTCGCTTAAAATCTGTGAAATTACTACTGCTAGATACAATTCATGCAACGTTTCAAATAATACAAGGTCGTCGTTACGAAATGTTTAATTGCGCCAATAACATTTACGCCGTGAATAATTCGTTTGGCAAATACTTCACAAATCTAAACCGAACCATGAAATTTTCAATACTTTTTTAGGAAAAAGTCTTTAACGATTTAGTTTTTCAACGAATTTACTAGAATAATAATTTACTATAATAGATTACGAGACAGATACAGAAACTTCGAAGCCAAGAAGTTAAAAGGGTTGTAGCCACTAGGTTTTTTTAAAAGTGGTATTTAAAATTGTATCAACTCGTAAAATCTCTAAAATTTAATTAATTGGTTATTTTAACTTGAAACCCTAAAAACTGTATTTCATAGTGTTATTTTAGTATCATTATTTAATTTATCGAATTTTTAAAGTAATCGAAACTGACTTCAAAACCTGTCAACTGAATGTATTAGTCTCCTCCAGAACAGTCCTGCTTATCTCTATATATATTTAACTTGGACGGTTCCTATATATATAAAAAAGGACATCAAAAAATAAATGTACATACAGATCAAAGTAATAACCTTTTTTCTAAAGTTGGTTAAAATTAAACATTTTATTTACAGGCTACGGCATGGGCTACGGCGCGTACCCCAACCCGCCGTACTACGGGGGTTATGGGGGCTATTATCCCCCATATGCCCCACCAGCGCCATTTCCACCACCCAACACCACGACGGACCCATATTTGCCCCCAAACCCACAGTGGTAGGAATCTTCCAATGTGTTAGTGTTAAATAGTAAATATTAAAATTATTCAGGTATAAAATACTTAAGACAATTATTGTGTGTCTGTTCGGCGTCATAATACACTTTAATCGGATAAAATTTCTTTAAATACTGTCATCAGATGTCAATTGTCACTCTGACGTAAGAAGTTACGAGCGCCATCTATTGAAGATTTACTTCCGAAGATAGTGGAAACTCATCTATTTTAAATAGATCATTTTCAATATATTTTTAAAACGGCTTGCTTTTTTGTTTGACAGTTATTCAAGAATGCAAAACTGTAGAAATCACCAAAAATTCTACTTAAAATCTCAAGTCAATGTTATTACTATGGCGTCTCTTTCTGTTACGCTGTGATGAAAAGAGAACAACGGTTGAAAATAAAAGGCTTTGAATTTTTTAATTACTGATGATGTATTTGTCTCTTTCTATCACAGTGTAAACACAATTTGGGAGAAAAAGACAAAAGAGTGTTCGTAACTTGTTTCGATAACAAGTAAACAGAACAGTGTTTGCCAACTATTTTGTGCCATGCCCTTCCTTTCTTAAATTCTGCCCAACATAAATAATTTTTAATATTAAAAATTTAATTGTTCACTTAAAAAACTTTGTTTAGGCTTTAGAAAGAAATCACTCGGAAATTGTTAACGAAATACTGTAAGTAAATATTCAAAGCAATGTAAAACAGCGAGTCCATTTTCGAATTGCCCCCTGTGGGGCGTGGGCCCCACTTTGGGAAACATTAATATATATTAAAATTAATAAAATGTGAAATAAACAGAACAAAATCTAGTCGTCATTTAGTAGCCAGTTCAATTGGATTCGTGAAATAAATTTAATACAATATACTAATTATTTTCAAAGATTTAAAAGCTGTAAAACACATTCTGTCTTTAATACCTTTAAATGCAAATTTCATAATGTTTTTATAATAATTTGAATCAATCCCAAGTCTAAGGCGCGAAACACACAGAAAAGGAGTAAGGCGCGGCGCAGGCATCTTGCCGCTTCAAACCGCGTCAATACAAAATGTACACAAGAGGCACGTTGTTAATTATACTCAAGCGGCGTGGCACAGGCACGTCACCAATATCTTCGGTGTCTCTGCACATTAATGAGTTGCAGCAAAGCGAGCGCATCTTCGTCATCCTTAGAGGAAGACATGCTATCACGATAAAGTCAGCCTGCGTTAATGACTCTTTGTCACCTTACGCCTTTTCTGTATGTTTCGCGCCTAAGACGGTTCAAAATTAGATTCAGATATGTTCAAACTCAAATGTCAGAAACAATTCATAAAACAAAAGGTATTACTTTTATATTCTGTAATTTAGTTGTTGTATAAAACAAACACAAAATATTTATGGTGAGGTTCAGAAACGGGAATTTCATAAGCCAATACATTTTTGACGTAGTAGACTTAGAGCGTTCTCGTTTCTGAATTTCCCTTTCTGTATTGGCATCGAGATTACCTCTAATAGTACATTGATATAAGAAGAATATACAAATGATTCATTAACTATTCTCTGATTTTTTAATTCCGTAGAATGCTGACATTTCATAAGTGTTGCTATTAAAAAAGTTCTCCACCGAAAAATTGACAAATTTGATTTATTTGAGTGCAATAAAAAAATGCTACGTATTTTTTATGTTTTACCTACAAAAGGTAAATCTAAATATTTATTAACTCAAGTGACCTAATACAAAAATGACAAATATTTCAATATCACGAACAATATATTAAATTAACTTAAATTACTTTATTTTATTCTTTAGCTGGCATCACTGCCTACTAATTCCAGGTTTGATAAACCTTTTTAGAAAAGAAAATGTTATCTTATGCGTTTTTTACTGTTTATGATGAAAATGGACGTAATTATCAATCGCTGTTAAACCACTTTTAATGTGGAGCACCGCACTTAGTAAAATGGGTACATTAACTAACAATAAAATGTATGTATAGACTCAGATGTTCAGACTCGTATTGAAATTTAAAAATTAAAAAAAAAATGTTAGCTTAATTCTGCGGAATTAAAAATCTGAGCATAAACGCCTGGCTTAGAGTCAAAATTGATTTAAAATCTTCGGAGGATTGCTGGTATTAGAACACTGGTTTAGCTGGAATCATTCTCGTCTGACCCTTTGTAATTTCATATGTTTAGTTTATGAAAATTTTTATTTGAGATTAATTTAATAATCTAAGCATTTAATCGTGATGTCGTCTTAAAACGCTTCAAGAGTCTTTTGGTTACCGTCTTTTGAAGTATTATTTGAGGATTTTAACAGTACTTATTAGGTATGAACAATTTGAGTGAGTACTCAGCGAACGCAGTATTTGTGGCTATGGAGCGATCGTATGTGATAAGTTAGCGTAAGTTAATTTAAGAAATATTTATCGTTATAGTGTCGGAACGTTCATATAATAACTCACACAAAAGTCGATTTAAAAGCTGGTTTAGCTGAGCTTTTGTGTATTCGGGTAAGTGCGAGTCGAGCGACCCTAAGCTTTAGGTATAAATACAGTGTTTAGGTTCAAAATTCTTAAGAACAGGTCTCGCTCGCGCTAATTAGCTTTTATTCAAACCTAGAATTTATCTCATAGATATTTGTTTTATGATGTGATCTAAATGCGATTTGAAATTTCAAATAAATAACATGTATTTCTGTTTATCTATTTATTGGATTTTTTGATAATTGTATGTTTTGTCGCATGTACAATAAGGTATGTATGTTGTCCCGTGTACAAATAGTGTTCGAGTGGTACATTTATTGCATTTTAATCTGTACTGTACCGGCGATATCGAATAAAAAATTCAATGACACTCGGTTTTATTATTTCAAATTTAATAACCCCTAAATAATTAAATTAGCAATCTTGAAAATTTAAAAATTGCATTCAATTACAATAGTTCTACCGATTTCGCTCTTAGATTCAGGATCGAGACAGCGCCAAGTCTACGTTAAAAATGTATGCATTATGACATACGGGCGTCATAGCTCGCGCTTCTGAATCTTTTCTAAGTCTATAGATAAGGATCGGAGCTAGTTTTTAGTAGCCTAAACTCTTAAAACTGAAGGTTAATCTGGCTGTGCCATTGATATACAAAAAACCCAAGATGCACAGTCTCGAATAAAAGAAACGCTCGAAAGTGTCCCGAAACACTATTTCTGTCTCTTTCTATAAGTTACAAGCATATATTATTGCAAAATCAACCTTACGCAAATTATTATTTGTAGTTGTTATTACAACGCACTGTACTTACAGCAATTAAATTTTACGACCGACCGTGGTCGGTAGGACAAGGTATTGAGTGGAGTCGAACATGACTTTTTTATTTACAACTATTTAACATAATTTTAAATTTATCCGACGCTTCGCGTGCTTTACAGCGTTCGTGGTCACGGTGACTGAAGACAAAAGGTGTTGGATGTTAAATAGTAGTAAATTTATAATAATACATAACTTTAATCCGGTTAAAAAGTTTTTTCTTTCAATTAAAAAAAATATTAAATTGGCTACCTCCTGACCTACAATTTAAATAGCGTAAATATATTTGTCAAAAACTACACACAAAATAGTTCAAAAGTACACATAAATTTATTTATAAAAAAAAACACAAATAAATAACATCGACTCCACTTATTAGAACAGGGTCATTCTTATAATGCGACTAAAATAAAAAGAAGACTGTAATGCGTTGTTCTAACACTGAACAAGCAGACATTGAAGTTGGCCGTATAGAAGTTTGTACGTTGAATGAAGTTTTTAGAAAAAATAAATAAAAATCACACATTGCTTGTTATAATCAGTCATAAAAACAACAAAAACTAATCAATAAAGTTTTTTAATTACCGAAAATACGATATCCCATCCTTTTTTAGCCTTCTTGACGTTATATTTTTACAATTTCTCACAGAACACTTTGGCATTTTTAACAACTGCTCCCAGACGCGAGCGACGCGAGACTATTTGAAATGAGCGCACAATTTAGAATGTTGCGCTCATTTTTTGAGGACGTTTTTTAGACGTTGAGTGTGCATCTTGGGTTTTTTGTATATCAATGGGCTGTGCCTATAAGTGCTAGTCACATTAAATCTTGTAATTATTTATTTAGTCTTAGGGTCTGTTTTACAATGTGTGAATAAAGTACCAAATAGCTATCTTCTTCTTCTTCTTTTAGTGCCTCTCCATTACCAAATAGCTATGCAACACATAAATTATTTGGAAGATAAATTGTGCTATTTGACATTCATCGGACTCATAGCTTATGATGGACTTTATGTGACGAATAGCGCTATCTGACAGTCGTGAAACGCAACAATTGTGTTTATCCTACCAATAAGTAATAAATAGCTAATTTAGCAGTCTGTTGAAAAATAAATGCGTGCGTACAAAGTACACATGTCAGAAGTGAAACTCCTTTGTAAATTAATTATTACTAAGGTAAAAGCCTCAATAGATGATCATGTACCAGTAAATGATCACTCCATGTATTTGTATATCTATATTCACACTATTTACACACTGTATACGCTAATGATAAAATAAATAAAAATCTGCGTTTACTGCACAAGATGTTATGCGACAGAATTGCCATCTAAAGTTCTAATATTTAACTAACTACTAAACGAATACATCAACCAAAGCGTGTATTTTTTCTCGATCTCCCTTACTCTCTCCCCCCAATCGGTCTCAATCACTCTTTCCCTTTTCTTCGATAAAAACGCTGCACTTCTTCGTGACGCTAATATTATTATTATTGCGTTTTATCTAAAGAACCTAAAGAAGTTTTACTTCAATAAATAAAAACTACATATACCTATACAAAAGATTCGATTAGGCTCTTATAATTAGAGGAATTAATAATTATAGTGTAGTGTCATAAAACTAAATTATAATTTTACAGTGACGGGGTGGCAAGACTGTTTTACTTAACTTTTTGGCTTTTTCGTGGGTCGCGACATAAAAATGGTTAAGAAACGATGGACTAGAGAATCAAGAATCCTCCCGCTCTTTGTTCTTCCTTACACACGTATATCAATATCGTGAAACTTAGTTTCTTAAGTTTTCTTACACTTTTGTAGGTATATGGAAAATACTAGGTGTCGTTATTTTGACCCAAATTCAGTTAGAGGTGGCCTAGGGCTTGGTCTATCCTATAAAATGTTTTATTTTATGCGGAAATTCGATAGTTTTGTTAGGTTTACTGTATATTCCTTAACTGATCATCTACCGGCTTAATGGTTAGAATCGCGTTCAACCCGGAAGGTTAGACTTCCGGTACGACAATTATTTCGAGAGATTTTTTTTATAAATCTTAAATGAAACTGTTCAATCACATCCAAAATTATACCTGCCTTTGTTCCATTAAGAATGGACTTTCAAACAACATAGCGAAGAACATCTTAGAGCCCACTGTTCTGTGGCGTTTAATAAATAATTAAATTTACATAGCTACTTGTAAAGTATATTTCAAGTGAAAAAGTATAATTCAGTTTTCCAATATCTACAAATGTACCGAGCTTGAGCCTAAGTTAAGTTACAATTAAACCAGATCGTAAATACTTAAAGTTATCTAACACATAAAACAAAATCAATTTCCTATAGATACAGTGGAGTGGCCGATCTATATAACGCAAGCGTGACAGTCGCCCGAGTTCATTATTATTGTGATTAACTGAGCGGGCGCATTGCTTGAAAAGTGTTGTGTTAATAATCGTGAGTTACGATGTGGAAACTTTTTATGGTTCGTACCAAAATTTTCGTATTATATATTTCTGAGCATTATTTGTAAACAATCTTTCCATAAATACTTAAAAACATTTTTAAAGTTCCTGCGTCTATTAAATTATTATAGAAGTAATGTAAGAACCATTGGACGACCAGAAAAACATCTTTAATGACAAGATTTTTTTTGTATCAATTACTAAATTATTATTTGTTGGCTAGTATTTTTATCAAGCGACGACGGATGAATTTTGAAAGAAATGTCCGGTGCATAAATGTTACTCAAGAGAAAATTTGATAATCTGTGAATAAACGTAAAATCGTAAATTGAAACATTACATACAACTTTAACAATAAATATACATCGTATAAGATGATTATTGTATGCAAGATAATTGTAGATTTGAAATTACAACCGAATTATATTACAGCTAGAAATCTTTATATATCTTCAACAAATACGCGTCAACTGTCAAAACGTATGTTGTGCCAGAAAATATATAAAAAGAGAATGATTTCATAACGCTTTTTTACGTACCATTTGTTACATCTTATAATACAAATAATAACCTTGAACTAGTAGAAAAACTAAAACTTAAAAATAAAAATCAGTGGCGCTACTAACTTTTTATGTCTGGGCGTCAGATTTCTGTATCTGTTTCATGTTCATGAGTCAAACTAATAGGCAAGTAGGTGATCAGCGTCCTGTGCCTCACACATGCTGTCGACTTTTTGGGTCAAAGCAAGCCGGTTTCCTCACGATGTTTTCCTTCACCGTTCAAGCGCAGGATAAATGCGCACATAGAAAGAAAGACCATTGGTGCACAGCCAGGGATCGAATCTGCGACCTCAGGGTTGAGATCGCTGCAGCCACTAGGCCATCACTGCTCTAGAATAGCCCATTATACTTATTTAATTAAATAATACTAGAACTATATGGACGCAATAATTAATAATAATTAATTATTGCGTCATAATAATTTAATTCTTTCTTAGCACATAATCCTATGTTAATGTTTCTCGGAGATCTGTAATCTAAGAGATCTTATACGAAAATAGTAAAAATATTTCGTTTATTTGTTCCATAACTCCATTTTAAGTGCTAGATATATTGGTGCAGTAATAATTAGTAGAAAATGCTTAGACAAAAGCTTAATTTAAAATTTTGAAATGCCTTTTACGAATTCTTCCGGAAGCGATTCTTATATAGTAGGAAACTGGCTTGTAATTTAAAAAATATATATTATATTCTCTAATGTATTGTTTGGTGCGGAAATGACATAACTTTCCGTACGGGAAAAACAAGAGTAAATAAGTATATAGATAAACTTTCTACACAACCTATTAATACGTAACACGCCAGTTATATGGATAAATCCACTTTTATTTGCGCCAATTTGTCAGAAGCTTATTAGTCTCACTTTCATTTGAATTTCTTCTAAATTTCATTATAGTTCAGATAGACAAGGCCGTGTCGAATCGTTTTCGTGCAACCTTTGTGAAAAGAAAGAATTGAGATTTATCTGGGCCGATTACATACACAAAGGTTTTCTTAATTGTCTTATTTTGCGACAAATGTTTGTAATAGAATAGTGTCCTTGAAATTAAATTTTAAAGGTTTAAAGTATGCTAATAAAATAAATAATAAATCAGCTACAACCTTTTTAGGTATTGGCCTCAGATTTCTGTATCTGTTTCATGATCATTTGTCAATCTAACAGGCAAATAGGTGATCAGCCTGGCTGATACACGCCGTCGATTTTGTGGGTCTAAGGCAAGGTTTTTTGACGATGTTTTACTTCACCGTACGTGCGAATGTTTAATGCGCACACAGACAGAAAGTCCATTGGTGCACAGCCGGGGATCGAACATACGACCTCAGCGATGAGAGTCGCACGCTGAAGCCCTAGGCCAACACTGCTCAAACTAGCACAAAGTATCCTATTAGTAATGACTAATTAAAAAAATTAAAAAGCAACTACTTAATTTAACAGTAGGTACCTACTACATAACATGTGCAAACTGGGGTGAGTGCTCTTGTCTTATTAAGAGGTTAGGTAAACTACCTTAGTATTTAGGTTAATAAAAAAAAATCAACGATGTGTGTAACTAGATAATTTAATTGTTAATACTGTCTTACACTTAAGTCTACACAATCCAAAAACACGCAGTTGATTTCATAAAGCCTTTTTTAGTACATAAGTTAAAAAAAACTTTAAAACAAAATTAACAAATTAGAAATATAACTATGTCCCAACATTGTGCCGACACGTTTGAAAAAGAAAGTGTAACATTTAATTTTTTTTTAAACGACACGAAAAAGATCTACCCCGCAATAACTACACATATAATCCATGGCCTAAATATCAGTGGAAATTGAAAACGCGTGGTAAACTACCCAATGAACTGCATTAACTTGAAAGCTATTGATTTCTGGGTCACTTCTAGAAAGTGAAAAATAATTCTGCATCAATAGTTATACCACAAAATAGTAACAGAACTCATTATCATTATAGCAAATACAATATTTTTATAACAACCACTATATATTTAAAAAAAATATAGGTTATCTAAGATGTAGTTTATAGCTAACTCAATAAATATTTAAAAATGTTTAGAGTCTATAGATAAAAAATAATAATAGGAATGTGTTTATTTAAATTAAAAATACCTGTGTCAGGGCTCCCAGATCTTCAATAAAAATAACAACAAACTTAATAGTTAATTCCATTAGAATAAGTATAAACCATATTCATTAATAAATTATCATACTAAAAACTGACTTTTTTACTCTTGACACTACTATTTCAATTCACATTAATGAAGTCTATAAAATGTAATTCTCAGTAATTTCGCCAATACACATCATTTTTTCAAAATTTCTTTTGACAAGAACACAATGAACGGTTCATGTATTTTATTAAATACTCAAATCAGTCAATCAAATGATAACAGGAACACAAGCTTCAAACGATATTCTTCAATCGAAAACGAATATAAGGGTGCAATCGCAAAACGTTTGTTTACATTGTTAATTTCAATTACGGAAAATTCCAATATTTATTTTGCTAACATTACCATTTCTAAATCTACGCTAGATTATTGATGAAGAGGTATTTTTGGTAAGATGTTAGCTCTGGTACTATTAAACTCTATTTTAGCTTCATTGTTCAGCGAAATATCCTGAACATGCCTATTTCATCATGCCTCCTGCTGATAGAGGACAAATCTATGTTTTTAATTTATTTTATTATTATTAATTACCTAAGATGTCACGTGGATCATGGTGTAATGGTTGGCACTCCTTACAAACATTGTGTAAATCAAAAAACTTGGCGATTAAAAAGAGTGGCGGAGAGTTTATTGCCAGTTCTTCTCTTCCGTTCTACGCCCTCTTGACTGGCAGTAAATGTAAAATTAGAAGCACACTTTGAATTGAATTGAATTTGAAATACATCAAACTGCTATATTTCATTAATTTCTGTTCTCCAGTGTTTTCGGAGAACGAGACTATGTTCCGTTAGGTTTACGCTTAAATTGAATAATCGATTGTAATAAATAAATACACTATAATAGACGGAAGCTTAAACAATATTTAGACACTATGTTTTTAGTATGTGTATATTTGAAAGTAACTACTTCCTTATGTTGTAACTTCACAAACGCATAGGCAATTATTGGTTAGCTATTACCACCTTTTCGATAAATGTAACCTACAATTGAACAAATAAAACCAAAACCAATCTGGTCCAATGAACCTCACACTTTTTTACATTTTGGTTTTTGTGACACAGTTCTCTTGACCGGATATTGCCGCAAATGATGCAACTATTACCGTATAAAAATAAAAGTTTATAAAAGTAAATGAGAAATAGATAATTAGTAACTAATTACGAATATTTCGATGTCTTGTCTACTAATTTTTTCAAAGGATATCACAATATATTAAATAATAACATACCAGTGTTAGTAGCTTCAGCGTGCGACTCTCATCCCTGAGTTCGTAGGTTCGATCCCCGGCTGTGCACCAATGGACTTTCTTGCTATTTGCGCATTAAACATTCGCTCGAACGGTGAAGGAAAACATCGTGAGGAAACCGGCTTGCCTTAGACCCAAAAAGTCGACGGCGTGTGTCAGGCACATGAGGCTGATCAACTACTTGCCTATTAGATTGACAAATGATCATGAAACAAATACAGAAATCAGAGGCACAGACCTAACAAGATTGTAGCGCCACTGATTTATTATTTATTTTATTAGATAATAACAGGAATGTTTTATATATTTTTATTATCTTCTGAAAAAACGCAATAATTTGTACTCACGCCACATATCATAATTTCAGATCACTGCACTTAGTGGCTTCGCCTCAGCAATAAAAGTACCCGTTGCCAATTTAGAAAACACAGATTCAACATATTTAGAAAACAACAAACCAATATATGTACCTACAATCCAGGAACCTTTGCACCAAATGTTGAAATCAGAAGACGTCGAAGCACCTGCCACATTTCTACTTCCGCCTACAAATGAAGCCTTAATGTATTACAAGCCACAACAGTCCGACAGTGATTGGTATCCAATCGCGCCAACCAAACAAATAACAAAATCGCCTGAACGAGAAAACTTACGTACAGCGAAATCACAGAGAGATGCATTACCCGCCACAATGCTTTTACCGCCATTAGAAAATGCACTCAATTTTTACTTTGCGGATCCTTTGAAACCCGTTGCGAAATTGCAACAACCGACGATATTGTACCCAAAGAAGTTTGTTGGGTACAAACCTGTCCCAATTCCAATTGCGCAATTCGCTGAAAATTTAACGGAAATCCCGAGGGCTAAGCCTCTTAAGCCATTAACACCTTATCCGAGCATTGACGGCATTTATATAACACCAATAGATGAGAAGAAACAGTTCCTGTATGCTCAGGCAGAAGAGAAAAGAAAACTGAAGAAGGAACAGGAAGTGATCCAGGTAAGTGAACTAATACCAATATTACCACTACAAATAGTAGTATTATAAGATATATAAAAGTATAAGATTGTGTTTTTTTAGGACATCGTTCCTGAAGAAAACGAACAGAATAATGAAGAAATCGTTACCCCTACGGAACAGCAAGCTTCAGAATCGAATCATGATTACCCAGAACGTAAGTCATAAATTGATGCAATATCTATAGTTAATCTAACTTTTACAAACACATGCTGTGTTTAAAGGTAATTTATAAACTTGTAATCAAATTGAGAAGTTCGGCGGCTGTTAGAGCGAAGTTCAATTAACTGAAACTGCTTTGTTACAATTAAAAAGACAAATTATTTAGGTAGCTAACATTTATTAGTGCATTCAAAACTTTTATAATTATCATAAAACATTTACAGAAGAGAGGTATCCTGCAAAGCAGAATGTGAAGAGGCCTGTATACGTACCGGCTAATAAAGGAGAAAGAACGGAATTCCGTATGCACGGCATGAACGGACCTCACAGCTATCAATTTGGTTATGATACAGGAAAAGGGTAAGAAGACTAAAGTGCAGGGCTTGGAATTGCCTTTGATGTACACGAGCAGTATCTAAATATTGAAATACAATTTCTACTGGATATTTCTCTTTTTAAATGGATTTTGATGATGAAATAATTGATAACATTACGCAGACCTCTATGCAGTAATAACACGTGTTGTGACAAGTACTTTTTTTAATGTACCTAATAGGAGGCAAACGAGCTGGTCCTGTACCAGCTCATTCCTCTAGACCATAGAACAAATAAAATAACAATAGCCTTCATAAAAAAAATATAACATATTTTAGTTTCCAGCACTGGTCTTTGAACTGCGCATATTAAATAAAAAAAATGTATTAACTAAATAAAATTTTGAATATTCTTTATCCTATAAATTTGAATTATAATAATAGTTGAGAAAATGTTTCTATAATTCTTCTATTACAGGAAGAATCGTCAATTTCGCTATGAAGAGCGCGACAATGATGGTCACGTGAGAGGGCACTATGGCTACATGGATAAAGGTGGAAAACTCAGAGTGGTTAAATACGACGCTGACCCGAAGTTAGGTTTCAGAGCAGACCCACCAGTTGTTCAAGAATGAAATTGTGATTTATTACCTATTATTATGGTTTACTACTGTCACAGTTCACTCAAAGCTACTTAAGATATTTGGTCTATACAGAGACAAGAATAAGTGACTTCGGACTTTTACCCTACTTCTACATAATATATTCTTGTATAGATACTCTTTAGGGTTATGTCTACGGAATGAATAACATTGTTGTAAACACCGCAAATAACAGCATGCTACTTTATTAAAGAAACTTTTTTAATAAATTTAGCTTATATATGAAATGATAGAAGTTTATGTCCAATTTACAAAATTCGACAAGTTGATTACATATTGTGTGGTTGTGTCTAAACCACTATTCCGACTTTGATTGCTTGTATACATTCCACTCACATTAAAAGGACGATTTTTATAAAGCATAGACAAAGGTTGTTAGCGACTTACTAATGCCCTAGTTGTGTCACGTGACCAACGTGTTTTAATGTATCTTACTAAGCCAATTTGTCTAGAAAATTAGTATTATAATCAAAAGTAAAACTCAAAGCAATTTTATACGGACTTATGTACCGATAGGAAGAAGGAAGTCGTTGTAACCAGGTTTTTATTTTATTTTAAGTGTTATTATTGTTATAATTTTTTAGTAAGTTGCGCCAAAGAGGTGTTATTTCCCGTAGAATAAGACACACTTGTATATATAATATTTATTAGACTATAAATGTCAACAACATTGCCATTAAACATGTAAACATATAAAACATTTCTTTTTTTTGGTAAAAATATTTACGACCTAAGTTTCTTACTTCTATGTTTTTAAAATAGTACATCTCTTAAAAAAACGGTACAAAAATATTTCGAAAAATGCATTAACAATTAGGAGAAATAATGTTACAAAAAAATATTTATTAAAACATTACGATTGTTGCACAATCAATATTATTTGTACGAAAGCTCATTGCCGAGGGAATTTCCATAGAAGCAGACGGAGGGAAAGTCTTCATGTCACAAAAAGATCTGCCAAGTTACGAAAAAGTCCTGCCGGGAACTTGACAGGTTTAACAGATGACACAACAGAATTTAAACTCAGATTTAATAGTTTGTTGATAACAATTTTAATTCCTTCTTAATCTCATCTAATAGGCTGGAGGCACCAATCCTAAAGTACTCCGGCGTTACCCACTCAGGCCCTAACTCGGATTGGACTAAAATTAACCAATTGACGGCATCACGGGCTGTTTTAATACCACCCGCAGGCTTTAAACCAACCTGTAACAAGATAAAAATTAAGGAATAAAGGCGAAGGCAAGATCGAAGGCGTATCCAGCGGGGGTTACGGGGGACATGTCACACGACTTCTTGAATTATAGCGCCTAGACAGAGTTTCGAAATGGGACTTTACGTCCCAATTAGTATTTTTCCGACACACAGAACTTGTATTCATATTAGTCATACTATTTTATATATATTTTTGAAGTTATACTTCTTTAGGCGCGTTATGAAAAATTTATGAGAGTGAAATTTTACGATGCGCGCGCAACTGTGACACAAAATTGGGAGTGTGATTATAGCGTGCGCGAGCGAGATAGGAATAAGACAATCTACAAGTAAAAAGAAATAGAATATGCGTGAAGTTCGTATACCAAGAATTTTGAATGACCATAATGACATTTGTCATTTACCTTTTAAACAAATAAAGGAGTTTTGATTAATTTTTCAAAGAAATTTATTAATTTTATATTGTGCAATACTGCCAAAGCTACAACATACTTCTTAGTGTTTGGTAGAGATGTTCTAAATATATAATTATATATACTTTTAACTAAATAGAATTTATGTTACACTTAATGTAAGAGAATAATAATAAATAATTATTCATTTAATTTTTCAAATGTAAACTGAACTTAATTGACTATAATTACTCCTTTTCCAGTCTTTGATTATTTAATTGTAATTAATTATTTGCATGCAATCAAAAACTATTTTTAATAATGCCAAAGAAGTATAACTTCTTACGCGCGTACATAAGTACACGCACCCTTTTTTAATAGGCAAACGAAAATACGGGAGGCCCAAAAAGGGCAGTCATCGCAGCCCATGGACACTCATTTTGGTAGGTGCGTTGCCGGCCTTATCTATGATTCTGTATATGTATTTATTTTTAATTTGTCTATGCCACTGCCGAGTGTGCCCGTGATTGATTTATTTAAAGCATTCAAACATCAAGTATGTATATGGAATAAATCGTAAACTTTAAATTAGATTATAAGTCAATCTATATAAGCGAAGTTGGTGAAGAAAAATAATCCAACACATCAATGTACAAGCACAGAAATAAACCTAATCACGTACTTGGCTATAAATAATAAAAAAAACAGATGCATAAGTCTTGTTCGTAGTTTACTCAATTCAAATGCTAATAGGTTTTACCTATAAAAAGTGTTTTAAATGTTGGGTGCTATCTGGCAACACAAAAAAAAAATCTAAAACAGCCAGATAACAAAATTTTGTAATTGTTATATCATGTAGAAGTTCGAGGTTACTTTTCAAATTCAATTAATAATTTGCTTACTTAGATTTTCATCGAAGTACCAGTGTATTTTATCTATCCTCCATCTGTCGTTGCTTTTAGCAATAAGACAGCTATTTTACATTGTCTACCTACCTGTAATATAGTGCAAATACAGTGTTTACTATTAATACATTTTGTTATATAGAACTAAAAATGTGTTTCACAGCTCAGAACAGTAGGTCGGCCAAGATACCGCAGGGTCACTTTTTGGGCCAGCGGAGTATTCAATTGTTTGTGCTTCATGTTGTCTCCATACCTTAATATTATAATCCTGGTAACATCTCTTTATAGCTCGGCACATTACAAGGCCAACAGGAAGAGTTGCATTGACTGCCTCTTTGCCAGTGGATGTCTTAATAAAGTTAGCACCCGCTAATATTGATACTATAGATGCTCTGTACACCTACAAAATAAGATACGTTTAAGTGCTATAATTTTTAAGAGCTTTGCGTACTTTTGCTGACAAGAGAGGGGGGGGTAAATTGCAGTAAATCTGCTTACGCAATACTTGAACGGCTTTGTTGTGTAAATTAACACAAATTATAAATTTGCACTAATTCTTGGGTTTCTTATTTTTGTGTGTGTTGAAAATTCTTTTAAAGTAAGTAAGACTGTCACTAATATATATGTACATCATCAGAGATCATAGTTGAAAATGCAAGAAAGAGGATAATTTATTTCCTTTTGAGACTTAAAGGCAAGATTAGTGTCTGAAAGTTTTAGTTTAAATATTTTTTTTTGTGTTGAATTACATCACTAAATAAATAGTTAGTTTACGTTTTTTTTATATATTAGAAACAGGTTTGAAGTTCGCGAGTGCGTTACCGGCTATTTAGTAGTTGATATGTTCTTAGTATTGATTACAGAGCTCAGAGTTGCCCAAAAATACGAGCGGCAGCCTTTTGCAATATATTTGTTTAATAAAACTTCTTACGTTTTCATAAGACCCCAGTTCTCCTACACCAAGTATCACTTTCATGTGAGCATCTTTACAGGCTTCCTTCATTTGTTTCAGCTCGTTAAATAGCTTCAACCATTGGCCTGTTAGCACCAGGCTTCGGTCTATAACGACATCAATTTCATGCGCACCACATGATACAGCATATTTAATTTCTAGTGTTCTTGTTTCTATGTCATATAAGCCTGAGGGGAATCCTGTTGCAACTGAAACAATAAAACAACTGAGATTATTATAAAGTACATCAATATTATGTATAAAGAAATAGAAATTTTAGCATAAAATGGAGCACATAATTTATTATAATCTGTCCAGGGATTTTATATGGGAATCAGAAATAGAAACAGTGCTACAAACGAGAATATTCAAATATTTTTAATAGATAGAATTTAAACAAAAAATTATAATTAAAACAACAAACATAAACATCAATTTTCAACACCTATTTACCTGATGCAATTTTTACATCTTGTTTTTGCATTCTATTAATGGTATCACTAGCATCACTCACTCTGCTTGGATATACACATACTGCAGCTGTTTTGATATCAATATTAAGTTCTGGCAATGGTCTGTCTGCCTGAAATTGAATTTACATAATTAATATAAGTTTTCAGGGATGTTATGGTGCCCATCAGATGAAACAATGTGGTCATTATTATTTCTTATTCCTAGGTGGCGTAGAAGCAGGGCACTTTATAAAAACCTATTGTTTTTTGTACATTATCAACATACACAACTTTACTTTTTTTTGTTACTGATAGTAACATATTCATAACAACCATTAATTTAAATATTTTATAGGTACAATACTTAATACAGTATTAATTTTACAGAAAACTGAATATTAATCATAAGCTAACTTTTTAATAGCTACTCACAAAGTAAAACTAGTTGTATTTTAATATCATTGCCAATTAAACACATTGTTAGGATAGATAGCGTGTAACACACTAATATTTTCGTTAGATTTCTTCATCGTCTTTTAAATTTTAATGAACATTTACCTTTACACATAGTCTTCTTACATTGGACCTTGTGTCATCACCAGATAGAGTTGTCAAATCTAAGACCGAGACTGCTTTGAGTAACCACTGCTGATAGTTATTATTTTCGAACACCAAATTATGTTCTAGGATTCGGTTTACTTGTGCTTCTATACTGTTCTTGTTAAGATATACATCGATCAAGATTGAATTCACTGAAATCATTTCATCAACACATCAATCATTAGACGTCTAGAAATTCCTAAAACTATCCTCATTAGGGAATGAGGAAAGGAATTTATAACATACCTTCAGCAAAATTAAATTCCCTAGACTTTGTAGTGGACATTGTATCGCAAATATAAGTACTTTATATGTTTATAAGTTTATGAAAAATCCGACAAGATTATGATAATGTCACGACGTGGACGACTATCAATAATAAACTATTGTTATTATATTTTATAAGCATACGCTATCTACACTTTGAAAAACTTATTTAAGATTAACCAAGTTCACAAGAATTATAAACCAATCAGCTGTTCTAACATCTTGCTTAGACGTCAAAAGTCAAATTCTAAGGATATTGAACTGTTAAGTGTCAAATCGATGTCTTAACTTAATACCATAGACTGAGTTATATTTAGGATCGACAGTAGGTAATATCTATATCAATACCTATACACCCATCGATTAGGATATTTTTAGTTTTATTAACTGTTGTTGATGTTTAATAATACGATATTTTACTGTCAAAAGACCTACGATAATTTTAATGACTCTCGTATACGGAATACTCGTATACCGTATACGAGTAGTAATTCTATTATATATTATAAAATAACTATTCGATAACACAATGACATTAAAATTATCGTAGGTCTTTTGACAGTAAAATATCGTATTATTAAACATCAACAACAGTTAATAAAACTAAAAATATCCTAATCGATGGGTGTATAGGTATTTGTATGATTGATATTTCAATATAAATATAAACAACATACAACAAAAGACGTCTCTCCCTATTGCTTTAAAGCTCTCGAAATCTCATGTTATGTCAATAAATGCCACGAAGTTTTATTAAAATATTATATCAGATCCCGGAGGTACAACCTATTGTCTGAGTGGAGCTCACAAACTCCTCTGCCACCAATTCCGCTTATGATTCTACCGCTTATCCGTTTCCTTAATACTGAACCAAAACTGGATATATTTGTGACTGGTTTAGGAATACTGAAAGAACATAAGTTGCTTTTATTTTTTAAGTAGAATAGGAATTTGATAGTAGTTAGTAAGATAGTGTGTAAGTAAGTCTATATAATATTATAATTATAGTTTGGCATCTTTGCTGTAAAATAATAAATAAATGAAACATGTGTAGTACTTATATTATATACGTACCGCATATCTAAGAAAATATTTTTAATATCGCATTCGATATTAAAAATATACTGAATGTATAATAAGCTGTTGTTACCTACTTGTATGATAAAAGGTGTTTCACACTTCGTATAGGTATATTACATTTTTTAAGACACACCTTTCGCAACATACATTCGCGAAGTTATTTTGAATCTATATATAAATTGAAAAACATGACAAAATTTATATTCCATAATTTAATAAATACTCGTGATAAATCGTCATCATTTATTTGGATGAGAATTAGTAAAAACACTTTCGTAAATGCAATATTTAAGAAAAAAATCTATAAATAAAAAAAGATAACATTAATAGATTGACATTTATGAGTAAATTGTCATAAAAATATCTAAACCAAACATAACTTCTTAAGTTAAACAATTTTAAACATTAAATTAACATTAAACATAACAAATATATTGAATGCGACTTCGACAAATGCGTTGTTAATATCCTCGATAAATAAATGGACCATCTAACACAAAATTAGTTTTTTATTCGTTCAAGTAGTTTCGTATATTAGCGCGTTCAACTCAACATTAAAGATATACCGTTTGTTATATAAGATTTGTTTTGGCGGTCTTGAAACTAAGACTATAAACATTTCACCAAGCTATTACGGCAGGCCAACTGTGAAAATGTCTCTTGGTTGTTGCTTTTAGAAGTTTTAAAGGAATTACTGTTGTTCAAGTCGTTTTTCTTTTCAGACGTGGAAGAGGAAAATATTGCTGCGTCGGCCAGTTTGTTTCAAGTTTCTACGCATCGAAAACAATTTATAACCCCGTATATTTCGGGTAACATTTAGAGCTAAATTGCAACTCCGTATGTCAAAAACGTAAGGCCACCATAAGAAGTGCTAATTGTATATTTAGTCCGATCGTAGAACTTATAAATAAATCAATACCATCAATTACCGCCTATTTCTGTGTTTTGCTTATTTAATACGTTATTGATATGTTTTGTTGTCCTAACTTCTCAAAAGAGTTTTTATAGCGAGGATGCCAGAGCCTCACGTCGTGTCTGCCTAAATGTTAAGTGTGGTCCACCTCCAAAAACTTTTTTTTTATTTTTTTGACAACACTTTTTGTTTTTATTTTTTAATGATACAGCAAACAAAAATACATACAACCCTTATTTGTCACCCCCTATTTTTTATTTGTTAATTAAAAACTTATGACTTGAACTCTGAGGTTCGCTATAGAGAAAAATTCACAGAAAAACCTAAAAAGTTTTCTATTCCGGAAAACCGAACCGTCTCTGGGGTAGCATAGCAAAATGTTCCATGTTGGTATGTACTAAAAGGTAGGCTAAGTAAAATCACATTTGGGAGATTGGAAGTTCGCGGGGGAAGCTAGTAATTCTATATACTTACTTTAAAGCTAACCAATTAATATAATATTTAGGACAATATTGTAGCTAACACCATATGGAGTTATTATTGTCTGCTTGAATGGATAATTTAATTTAATTTATACTGTATTACAAATACAATGAAATGTTAGTGATTTAGAATGGTTTGCGGGGTGGTCGTTCAATAAATCGTGTTACGGACTCCGAGATTTATATTTCTGTTAGCGAATCTGTTAGGGAACAAACGAGCCAATATGAAAAGATTATTTAGGACTAGCATTTGAGGTTCATTCGCAGTAAATAAAGATAAAATATATGCGATAACGTTCCGAATGTACGGACTTTTCGATTGAAATAATGAATGTATACAAATACTACAAAAAGTGGTTCAAATTGAGTAATTATGTTTGCGTCGGATAGCCCATTTAACGAGGAATACAATTCGCGAATGAAATTAGAGAGAACCAGAGAGCAAGCTGGTTATTATATATTTATGTCGTAGCCAACTAGCCTAATTAGGCGTTAAATCAAGAGCCTAGCCTCTTTACTAAACAGCGCCGTTTAATTACCGGCCTGAATAAATATCTTTTGTTACAACATTTAATAAACTGGCTGGCTAATGCTTAGCCCATTCATACGACCATCTGAAGTTAAAAAGCTAAAATATGTGACATAAGAAATTATTTATTTAGTATATTTAAATTGTAACATATTAGTGTTCTTACACTTTCTCTTTGTGTCAATCAACCATACTATTTTTCATAAAAATTTAGAAAACATCATCAAATTTGTTGTTTGCCGACGCTTTATTGACAGTTTGGCAGAAAGTGGAACTATATTGAAATGAACAGGATAGGCAAGTAATGTAACGTTATCTATTCCAGTCATTTGCCTAGATGTTTGATCGAATGGCTGAATATCAAGCCGCTGGTTGAACGGCGCTGTTTAGTAAAGACTTTAGGCTGTTGATTAAACGGCTAATTAAGCTAGTTGGCTACGACTTATATTCAATAAGAAGTTCACTCACATACGATCGGTCTTCTGTGACTTCAACCAGAATCTAAACCAGATTTTTTTTATGAACATGACGTAAAGTATTTCGCCCAAAGGTCGTGTTTTTTATATTTGTGGGCCGCAACAAAAAATATGAGATCAAAAACTTACGATACACTTTTTAGGCCTAATAAAAACTACTACATATATCTTTACCTTAAAATATTTCTTGACGTTGTAATTCCCCTAATGGAATCTGCCAATTTTACGATATAACAGTACTGTGTTGTTAAAAAAAATCATTTTTAAACCCCTAACCCTCGTAATTGGCTTCAGAAATATGGGTTCTGCCTCACTTAGAAAGTGGCTATGGTATTATAAGGGTATCACAATAAAAACAAGTTCGCTTAATATTTATTTTTCAACATACAAATATAATATCAACAATATTCTCAACCTACATAGTAATCATTCATAAATAGAAAATAAAAACAAATTTAAAAAGTTTGGTCCCAATTGCAGTGTTCCTGGCAGCATTTCCTCGCTGTATTGCGATAGAGAGAATGCATCAGCCCTGGGTTCACCGGTACCATTTACCAGGCGTCAACTAAAATCTTTTATTAGCGCCTGTGCACTTGAACCCCACGGCCCAATAGTCTCTACTCCAAAGGGAACAAAATCAAACTATATATTCTATGTTAAGTGTGAATGTAATAATATGCTACTGAAGCATTTTTTATCGCCATTGCTTCTTCATCAGTGCGTCATTAAATTAAAAGAATCGCATTACTGAGAAATATCAAAGACTGAGCATATTCATTTATCCAATAAATGCAAGTTACAGCTAATAGACATCAAGTCTAATAAATTAATTAATCCGACGAAATGTGAATAATCCACATATTTTTCAAATAGTAGGTATGTCTATTTGAAAAATCTCGTACTTCTTTAAAGTAACAAAACGGCAAGAAATAAATAATATTTTTTGTTCATTACCATTTTCAGCCTAAATTAGGAATTATTTTTCACTTTTTAGTTTGATGTGCTTTAAAAGCGTGTTTTTTAGTTTTTTTTAACTATTATTTATTGTTTTTATTTTTTAGTTATTTTTTTTTGGGATAATTGCATTGTCATCGATCTTTGACAGGTGCGCAAAATTTGAATAAAATCTGTCCGTTTAAAGTGGGTCAAAATCGAGTCCGAAGGAGTCGGTTACATACATACATACATACATACAGGTGAAGCTAATATAAAGCGTGTAAAAAAGAAAATCGTTGTATCTTTTCTAATCACTCGCAAATATTACATATTAAAAGTTTCAACCTGCAGTTATATAATTTATTTGCAAAAAATAGAAAAAAATTAGTTAGCTTATGTAATTAGATTAGTTAGTTCTGCTCTCAACTGTCAGCCTTCGTTTATTGTTAATCAGTTTTAATCCTATAACACGACACCCTTTTACGTGATTAACTCTAAAAAGCTAAAGTTTTCAGTTCTGTACAGTTTTTATTTATTGTTAAGAATATTTACGTTTGCTCTGGTAAAGAAAGAAACTACTTTTAGCTGTAAAACCTATTTACA